AGGTATATTATTCGCTACAACGTCAAATAAATTCATTCTTGATGGGCATAGCAATGAGGGGGAAATTATTTCAAATTTGATAATAGTAGACAGTTTGACAGGCCGTCATTAATGGGAAGTAAGGTAATTATTAAGCGAGAAAACTTTCACATGAAATACTTATTCTACGCCTGAACAAAATAGACATGACGAGATTTTAATTAAAATTTTTGACGAGTTTGTAATTAAAAATTTTATGAGAAATAAATTATTTGCTTTATTTTATTTTTAAGGTGTATGAAATAGATAAAATTCATTTTTAGTCTCTTTTCCTATATCAATATAAATCTTCTGTTCAAATTTTAATGTCACATTTATTTAACTTTCAGTGTTTCTGAAGTGAAACATTTTCTATTCCCAAAGGAAGAAGTTTGGTTTCTACACAGTTAATCCTTAATAGAATGAGAGGAAAAGAGAGCGTGTGTAAAATTAAGAATAAATTCATTTCTCTTATTTCCTCTAATACGAGAAAAGATCAAAATGTAATATATATATTTTAGTGGCAGTGGCGATAAAGTATTTATTTGATAGCTTTAAATACAGTGAAACCACTTATATTGGCTATTTTACAAGTAAGAAACTAATAGCTTTAGAATTTTCTTCCATGATGGCACCAGATTTCGTAAAGCTTTTTGTTAAAGTCTGTTTTCTGACCATTTAGCCAACTACGAACGACCGATTGGCCATCTTCAGACAAACTGAAGCATTCCTTCCTCTTTCCCTTTTCTTTTAGACAGCATTAACAAACACTTCTTGGCGTTTCTTCACAATTTTTGTCGCTCGGGATGATCCATTTGCCGCACCTCTCCATGCTTATCAAAAGATTTATAAAATGTCAGAACGACATGTTGAGGAATAAATAAAAGCTTATTTACAACATTCTAAAGTTTGCTTTTGCCTGTATTTCTATTCGCTTGGTAATCGATTTGCATTTAAGGGGAGGGAGAAAATAGTCAATAGCGTTCTAGAAGTTTGTTTCATTTATTTATCCATTTAATATTATGAAGATAGTGTAGTGAGATTCCTTAAACATAAGGTATTCGTTCATGTTTAGGTCTCAGTTGCTTCTTAATCAATTTGTATTCATGAAAATTCTTCTTACAAGAAGTAGCATTTAACAACGATCGTGAGGATAATTCGTGGTAATATTACAGTACTTGGTATTCCATTTTGAGACTGTATTTTGTAATGAACTGCAAAAACTCGAAACAACCTCTGTAATACGCGTCGAGCGTGCTGACCACTACACTACAAAGGCATGCCAAGAAGGCAAGAGAAATACTTATAGGCTTAGCAAGAACATGAAACTGTTGAAATCTGGTTGTGATTATTTTTAATGCAGTATCCAACATAAGAACAAATCTCTCCTTAATCAATTTCGTACAACAATTCAACACCTCGTTGTGGTTCTTGTCGTCACTGACGGAGTGGATAAGACCATTAAATACTATTAGTTCGAGTTGCGATCAAATCTAAAAGAATGAGCTGACTGCTTGTCCGTTTCCGTAATAACGTGAACAGGAGCAAGTTCTATGATAACGTGAATACGAGTTCGTGTTCCTATCATAACATGAACAAGAGGAAGCTGTAAGTTTTCTAAATCCTTCGCCTGAGTCAAATATCCGTGGTAAGCATTACCATAAAGCAGTACTTAAACGTGTAGGGCCAGTCTTTCGTGACTGAAAATGTCCAGTCATTCTTTCATAGATGGTTATATTTCAGAAAGCAGTGTAACACCATGGAAGAAATGTCACTGCGTCTATGTTATTTTATGGAAAAATAGCTGAATTTAATTTCATTATGTTTTTGTATTGTTTTTCATATCAGTTGGCGTAAAACATAAATATGTGATACATTTCGATGCTGATCGATGATTTTCATTTAGCATCTTGTACACGTTTGTGAAAAATAGCGCTATAAATATGATACTGAAAGTTTTGATATAAAAATATTGGTTATGAGAATTCGCTTTTATTTCTTAAAGATTTGCCTACAATACGTAGATTCTTTTTATAAGAAATTCTTTATCACCGAAAAATGAATTTCAAACTGATTGGGATTTCCTTGGAACTGAGGTCAACAGCTCATTAATGTATTCACATTCACGTAACTAAAACTGCTTATCAATACTTCGAAACGACATTCTCCATCTTGCAATATTCAAAGACAGGAATGTGGGACTTACTACCACAGCATAAAGTCAGGGGATTTTTTCCCCTGGTTTCCGTGGTTTTCAATTTATACCAATACGTTTCGTGGAAATATGAATTTTCAGACAAATCACTCATCTAATTTTGATCGAGAGAGCTACATTTCCAGGACATGACTATCCACGATTCTGTAGCTTTTCTGACTTGGTTGACATGGGTCGCACCAGATTGTCTGCATTTGGGCTTTCAGATTTAATTGCTTGTACGTATGTTAGTCACAAGAAGTAGTTTTGAAAGTTTTTTGACTGGTTGTTGAAAACATTGTTTGTCATAATGTCGTTAGGTATGTAAATGGATGAGAACAAAACAAAAGCATAGACTAAAAGAATTCATGAAATGTACCAGAATGCGATATATTTGTACATATACAATCGGCGCTTGATCACAACCGACGATTTATAATTGATGCCCGAACATGTGTGGTGTGTTTTTAATTAATTTCAGCATCTGCATTTTCACATTTCAGCCACCGATCTTGTTTGATTGCCTGCTGAAGCATTTTTGTCCTGACGCAGAGGCAAATCTCAGAAAGTAAACGTTAATAACATTGACAATTGCAATTTGAAAATTTTTTGAATTACGAAAAAGTAGAATATTCAAAAGCATCTGCCAGGAACCTGGCGGAAAAAACTACAATGTCTGTCAACAAGGCCGGTCCAAAGCATAGGTGACGTTGGCAAGCTGCCTAGGGCGCTCATTTTTAAGGGCGTCACCTGAACTGTTCTGTCGAGCGACAATTGAATAAAGAATTATTTCGCTTTAAGTTATTAATATGTTTAATTTATGCGAGGTGTTAACGTTACTGATCGCCTAGGGCCGACTCAACAGTAGTGGTAACAATTCGAATTATGCTGAACAGAAATAATGAAGTTCGTGGAACTTTCTGACGCTTTTGGAATAAGAAATATCTGAATTATTTTGAAACTTAATATGATTGGTTTAATGTTATTACTTAGCGAAAATCTGGATGTCATTCCTGCTCAAAAATGAATCGTTGATTGTAAAAATATGCGTTTAGCACATGTATTTAGAATGAACTTTTTTCTGTCAAAGTGGGTCTAGAAAAGAAATTTGTTGTTTTCATTATGTCTTGTCGAAACCAAAGTAGGAAATTGTCAATGTAAAATTTTTTTATTATATACATGACTTGTAAATAAATAATTATAAATAAGATCTCTTATAGTAGAATCGCGACACAGCATAATCATGATAAAGCGGCTTTCCAACTTGTGTAGGTTGTTTGCTAAGAAAACGGTTTCACTGATGTAGATACTTTGATCTTTGATCTTTTCGAAATTGTTCTGTATTGCATTTTTACTTCAACTGAAAATTATAAAAATTAATTTGTTTTTAGAGCAAAGAATAAAACCATTTTTATCAAAATTTAGGCTGATTTTTTTTTTTTTTTCTGCTGGCACTGAAAAGAATAATTTCAGTAATTAGCATTTTGATAAGTTAGATGCAATTTATTTGTAAAAATATATAGTTTCTTGAACAAAACAAAAGTTTCTTGAAGAAGTAATGTAAAGGAGATTTTGCTAGCTTTGTTCATTCAATAAAAAGTTGCAGGATGAGAAATACTCTGATACGTACGTTTTAATTTCGCGTATTATGAACAAAATCAATATTTTACAGGAATAAAGGTAGGACGATTATTTTTTGCTTCAGTTGATATTATTTCAGCCTAAATTAGCCTGTAAATAATAGAGAAATAGATTTTTTTCATATGGTTTGATGGTTCTTAAACCATAAGATACAACATCAAACATACGTTTAGTGAAAATCTAATGTTCACTGAATTTCTCATTAAATGCGACAGATGTATTGAAATTGTATGTCAATAAAATTAAAATTTATCTTATGTATTTGTAAAGTTTATAATAATTTCAGATAGCTGCGTGTATCTCTTGCACATTTTTTAAAATGATCGGAAGTACAGTTGATTGCATAAAAAAGAGGGATGGATTTTTTTAAATTCATTTTAATTTCAGAATTTTTTTAATTCATTAAATTTGTAAAGGTAAAAAACGTACGTTAAATTTAATGCTGTTATAAGTATTTTAATCCTTTACGTTATAATAATTAATGATTTAAAAATGATCATATTTTACTCCTAGCTGTAATTTTATACGTAGATTTCATTTCAAAATAATAATTTTTTGTGATATTTTAAACTGGTAATAATATTTTTACATAAAATCGCATTCCAATGTGTATGAAATTTTTATTATATTAGAAAGTATTTCATTCTTTTTATGTTATTGAATTAACAGCTTTAGAAATAGAAAGCTAGTTAATTTCTTTTCCAATAGGGCATTTGTTAATTTCTTTTCCAATAAAATATATCTTTGTCGTAATTTTTTTCTTGGACAATTCTGTCTTATTTATTTAAAATAATTTGCAAGACCGTGTATTTTTTTGTCGTTGTTGTTGTGTATTGATATTTGCCGTAGCTATTTTTTTTTTCCAGATTAACTTTCTCTATATATATTATGTTACTTATTGTAATTTTTCGGATAGTACGTTTTTGCTTTCTAGAAAAGAACATTGAAAATAAATTATAATATGATCTTGATTAACTTTATTTTGGTATAACCTTAATAACAACAACTTTTTAACGTAATCCAGAAAGCTGCTGCTTTTAATAATATCTTATAATTAATTTATACCATTTATATATACATAGTATAACGATTTTTTTCATCTAGTTTTAATGCTTAGAAGTTCAAGCAAGATATTTTTTCTTTTCAGGCTGATGCCAGTTTGGAAATGGAGCAACGGAACTTCTCCCAAGCATCGCTAGGATATATACTTTTTCTGCAGGAAGTTCAAGAACGAAAGAAAACAGAGTTTGTCGAAACGGTAAGTTGCAAAGTGCAATCTAAACAATTGTAAGGCCTGGTTAAAACAAAACAATGGCTTGAAATCTGATCAGCTACTTTGTGTATATCTTATGATTATTATCACAACGCTGTGTTATTATCCAAGCGCTGTGCTTTTTATACTCAAATTTACTTTCGATGGTGTTAACAAGTACTATAAAAAAAAATTTTTAAGTCAATTCCTACTGAGGTCAACAAAGAAAAATTTTATTTTAGTTACTTTTTATTAACATTATTTACATTTTTTCGTTTCTAATTTAAGAAGCTGATGATAGTCTATAATTTCTCATTCTATCTATCTCTTGTAATGCTTCTTTATTGCAAGATACCTCTCGAGTAAGTTTCGAGCAGTCCAGGTCTTCAATTAATATTCCATCTAATGATTTCACACGATTCAAGGCGACATGTGCTTGACCTGCTGCGAAGAAGTAGTCCAAGTTCCGTGTTGGTCGTCGAGTGCATCGAGAGAGTCGTAGTGTATCGCGAGTTAGAAATAATATAAAAATAATATGAAAAATAATAATATTCGCTACATAAGAATTTTCGCTACATTAAACTACAACTCTTTTAATTCCCATACACTTTAAAGATCTTTAGAACTCTGTCTTACTGTTGCCACTTATTTTTGTTAAATATCAAAATCCCATTTATCACAGTCATCTATTATTTATAGGTTGTTATAAAGTTAATTTTTACAGCACATGAGAATTCCTAATAAACGGTCATTATTTGTGAGTCTTATAATATATATAAAAAAACAGCATATCTTTAGTTCCGATAAACAGGAACAAATAAGTAGGAATTGACTTTAGTATGTGAAAAAAACTGTATTAACATCAAGTGTCATCCACTGCAAGTTTAAAAAAATGTATTTGAACTTGAGTGGATGAATAAAAAATATTTTATTAAGGATTGAAAATTTGAACACGATATAGAGAGAATGTGAGCTAATAGTAGGAATTTAAAAAGTAAAAGAATTTTCAGAGCTTAATCTAATGTCTAATTTGTACTTAAATGTCAAAAATAAAATCCCCTCTTTTTAATTCTGAAAATCGGTTGGGAATTTAAGAAAAAAAAAATTTGAACAGGTGGTAATATGCCATCAATTTATAGGAAAAGAACTATATCATTGACACCATGCTAGAACCACGATTCTGCATTTTTAACTGTTTTCGTTTATACAGTGGCTCATATTTGCTTTTGAAGACTTGTGATTTATAATTTCATTTGCAAATATCCATTACTAAATATTAGCTGTTTTTTTTCACGTATACTATTCATCATTTTTTAAACCTGCTTGTTTTCAAAAAAGTTATTCAGAACAGTTTTGGTACCAATAATAATAATATCCACACAGAAAGCTTCCGGATTTTATATTACGCCTAAAGGGGCATTTTTTTAAATTTTTATTTTTTTTCCCCATTTGCACATACGTACACGTTTTGAGAGCATTTGAGCTAACGCACCTTTGGGCTAAAAATATTTAAAAACAGCATATCGGGAGAATTTCCGATAGACAGTGTTGCGCGCTGGAGATAAAAATATTTTATTCCGTGTCATGTGTTGCCACTGCTTGCTTTGAAATCGTTGAGTTTCTTGATAAAAAATTAGTTAAAGTTTAAAAAATATGAAATTAGATTATAAAACAAATTCGGAATTTGTTAAGGTGCCCATATTCGGGTGGGCATTTATTTATTTATTTATTTATTTATTTTTTTTTTTTGCTTGCTCGCTTATATGTGTGTGAGAAAATGAAAGTGAATGAGAATGGGTGAGATGCATTTCCTTATGAGAAAAACGAATTTCGCGGTCAACGATTAAATTTCGTAAATTATTTCGAATGTGTATGTCAAAAGGTTTTCGGAATTTTTTGTTGTGTAATATTGTGCATATATACGTATTCCTAATATATTTCAAAATGGATTTTTAACCGTTTTATTACATTTAAAGGGAATAATTTTAAGATTAAAATATTTAGGTAATATCCTAGTGTACAACAAGGCCTTGGCACGACTTTGAAAATTATCGCCAACATAAAAATGAGTCCTTTACTGCTCATCATGATGTCGCCAAATCCTGTGTTCACCGTATACTAAGATTAGGCCAATATTTAAAAAAAAAAAAAAAAAAATGTTTTTTAATCTGAAGACTTTTAGATTTTATATTACGCCCAAAGGGGACGTTATTTTTAACGTTTTGAGTGTTACCTTTATTTATTAAATATCATATTCTTCGCACTTAAACCATAAAGTTCAATTCAACAGCAATATCACAAAATAATTTTTAAAAAACATATCTTTATAATTTCGGATGCACAGTCTCGTGCGCTGGAGGTAAAAATGTTTTTTGATGTCTCTAGGTACTCTAGGTGATTTTTCGTAGTGCGAGAAACATACATACAGTCAGGCAGATTCTTCGTTATTTAATTTCTTTAAATACAACGCAGGGCTAGCTGTAATATTTGGTGGCAACAATTTAAAAAGTGAAACCCCGTTTATAGCAAGGAGGTTAGAATAGTCTAACCTCCTTAATTTATAGTGAACCAACACAAAATGTCAAAACGAAATTAATAGCCCATCTGGACAAATTGCCCCTTTGGGCTAAAATTATCTTTTTCTTATTGCAGCTTTATCATAATGTAAATTTACTTAACATTATTTAATTTGTCTACTACTTTTTTCCCTTTCAGATATTGAGCTTTATGTATGGATGGCTCACATTCTATCATCAGGGTAATTCTGTGTTTTATTATATCGTACAATTTTCGTATTCATCCAGAAAATATTCAGACTAGGATCAATTAATTTCGCTCTTTCGTTACAGGACATGAAGTGGCAAAGGATTTTAAATCTTTCATGACAGATCTCCAGAAACGATTGCAAAAAGTAAGTAGTTTCAAAATACTGGATTTCCCTTTGATTAACTAGTAGTTCCTCACGGTCTGGAGGAAACGGCGTTCGCCAAAATCCTCATCTCCTTTCTTCTTGCTTAAAAGCAAGATTGCTAAAGTGCTAAACTAGAAGGTTTAATATATTTTTCTCTGTAACAAAGCGCTCAAGAGTGGTAAAATCCTAGTATTCGGTACGGTCTTCTGGCGCGATTTTGATTATTATCGCCAACACCAAAATGACGCTTAAAGACAGAGCCTATTATCTTCAGGGGGCTTTGGTTTGAACCCACCCGATATATCACAACCGCCCAAATCTTGTGTGTACGGTATGCTAGGATCAGACCCACGAGAGTTATTTGCTTTAAGAGAAGAAATGCCATTATGAGAGATTTCTGATGGAAAGCCAGCTGATATGGTGTTAAATAAAAGGAAAAGCATACAAATCTCATGAAACCAGCCCTAGCCACCATAAAATTCTAAAGAGATCTGTAAAATAATTTAATTTTTATTAAATATATGTATACTGTTTTGCTAAATAATTTCGAGCTAATTTAATTCTTTAAATTCTACAATCAGATAATGATAGGTTACCTTTCTTTCTTTTCCTAAATTATAAAAATGTATGAGAATCCAAAGAGAAGCATAGGAAAAATTTTTACCCAATACCGGGTATGAAGTTATTCTCCGTTTGAATGTATCGTTCAGATATGAAATGGTACAAAAATGTTTTAAAAAATATTTGCAGCAATTATCTGTATATTTACAGCAATCTATTTTGGTAAATATAAATGTAACTCTCTTTTATTTGGGAAATCTTTTAATTGATTTAAAACGACAAAAAAAAAAAAGAAGGAAAAAGAAATAAAAACAGAAATGCGCCATAGTGCAATAGTAGTGTTTTGCTTTTGTGGGTAAAAAAAATATTTTGTTAAAAAAAAAGTTTCATGCCATAATTAGGAAATTCATTATTCACTGAAGTGATAAACACTTAATTTTTATAATAAAATGAATGTTTGCATGTTTCCCTTTTCCCTGAAATAGGTAATTCGTTGATCACTTGTGAAAAATCTAATTTTGCTTTTACTTCTTGGAGAGTGGGAAGTGTTATTTTTCCGATGTATTTTCTCCTATATTAAGAAAAGTACTACATTTTCTCTGAAATCAGTATATGAAAATTCTTATGCAAAGGTCATATATGCATATGAATTATGACTTCTATTCAATAATTTTCATATACTCTGTAGGTTTCTGCACAATAAATTGCATATGTTGCATTGATTTGGCATAGCCTTGCTTTTGAGATAAAATTTGATTTTTCAGATTTTCTTTGGCTTCTGACTATGATTTCGTTGTGAAGAAAAATTCCCTGATGTTGTTCGTGCTTTTTTGTAATGCTGTGTTTTTAATTATGAATATTTTCCTTTGAAAAACTGTATTATTTTTATGATGCTGTTATTACTTAGTAGTATTACATTTATAGCATGCGAACTAAATAACAGCATATTTTATGCATAGTTATTCCATCATTTTTTATTTCATACCCAGCACTTAAAGATATGATAACTAGTTTATACTAAAAAGATTAAAATTTTCATTCTTACAGACGAGAGAAAATTTCACTGCTACTCAAGCTGAGGCAGAACAGTTAATGAAAAGACTTTTAGAAGTAAGGCATATTTTTACCCAACTTATAAAAACTATCATGCATTTATGCCAAAGTAATTTCTATAAGCTGTTTTATGTGCAGTATGAAAGAGCATGATTGAACTAGAGCACCATTATCATTTGCAAATGAGGGAAAAAAATGGTTCAATTTCAAAGCTGTTTTTAATTATTATTATTATCATTTATGAAATGAAAGCTAAAAATAAATAATAGTGATAAAATTAAAAGTATAATTCAGTATTTTGACACAATTCAGAAATTACTTTTAAGAGAGCAATATCATTCTCAAAAATAATTAAAAAAGAATGTTTTATGTATATCTATGTTGATTTAATAATGCTTTTGCTCTTATATGATTCTAGATGCAATGTTATGGAAATACATTGTTTAAATTTTTTATCATACCAGTTATAAGAATTTAGATTAAATTTTAACTGTAAATAATGTATTTCAAGTCAAACATTTTTTAAACATCCCTTTTGTAATAACAAATCTTACTAATAGGTGTTGTATTTTCCATTCTAACTAAAATTCTGCATGTTAATAAATGTCAAATGCTGGTTAAATTTAGGGAGAAGTTAGCTTAATATAAATGTTGCACATAGGCAGTATCAATTGAATTTTAAATTTATTTGAAGAAACTATGTGTATAAACTTATAAAGGCGAAACTATGAAGGTTTGCAATAAATAGTGATGATCTGAGATTCATATGTTTTTAAGTTAATTGTACAGTAATATTACATTTTATTCATCCTTAATTTAATAAATAATTTAATTTAATGTCATTACTCTATTTTTATCATTCTGTCAGTTATGTGCATTTATAGATTTTTTTCTTATTATTTACGGCTCATTTTTTTCACACTGCATAATTTAAGTTTAATTAAAATTCAATAAAGGCAATTCTAAATCCATTTTCATTTCTTGTTTGCAGAAACCTTTGGATTCTGGCTCTTTAAACAAAATGTTCACCAGGCAAGGATATTTATACTTGATGGAAAAGAGTAAGTACAGGTAAAATTATTTAATAGTTGCACTACTAGTTGAAATGTGATGAATACAAAAACAATGGGAATTCTTCTGCCAGTTTTCCCATGTGATTATTGTTGTGACCTTATATATGCTGGTATTTTATATGATTTTATTCTTATATAGATGACAATGTCAAATACCATTCCTTTTTTATGTTTCAATGAAGAAATCTGTAAAAATTTGGTTCCTTTTCTGAGAGAATAAATTATTAGAACTAGCAGATGTATATTACATTACTTTACATTTAAAAAATATATATTATGGGCAATATTAATAAGAGAGTATGTGCTATGACAGAATGCTTAAACTGAGGGGTAAATATTAATTTTTCACTTTGACTGGGGGTTCACTTCATACTCTACACAGAACAGTTATTCTCATAATCATTTCTTTATTTGACCTGTAGAAAAATTTGCTGCTGTGGAAGATATACTCAAAACATAAATTTCACAATCTACAAGAATTTCAATTTATAAAATGCATGCAATTTATAAAATGTATATGTTGTTGCAATTCTGATAATTAATTGCAAACATTGTAAAGAAGGGTAAAGAACTGTAACTCCAGATATCACTCCTTAGTTGTTCTAATAAAGTAATTTGATTGTAAAAGGAATATAAATACAAGATTATTCTTAATCTTAAAGCTGTGTGTTAGAGTCAATATGCAAGGGTTTAATTTCTAAAATTAGAAGTGGTGGAGTCCAATGGAAGCTTGTCAGGGAAAAAGAACAAAAATAAGTTCATATAAGTATTAATAAAATAATAAAATGAATACTATAATAATTAATTAAGCTTATAATTAAATAAAATATAAGGAGATAAATAAAAATTTTATATATTGTTAAGTTAATGGTAAATAGTTAAATAATTAAATAAAGTGCTCGATTTTGTCATCTTTGGAACTCCATTCAGAATTACAGTTTCATTCAAAAACTAAGAAATAGCTGAACTGGGCTCCAGCTAAATTTAAGCCCTGAATATGCAGTGAATGTCCATATTTTTCCCAGCACATCAGTAAAAAACGTTATAATGGTAAAATATCACTAATGAAGTTAGAGAGAATTCCATAAAGAGTAACAAAGTATAAGATGTGTAGGTATGAAAACAAAAAATGCAGCATTTTCTGTCCATGACTTCCTACCAATATAATTAAAGCTGTTAAAGAGAATATCGCTGGAGTAAACATTTTGTCTTGATCTGAGGGTTAGCTGAGAGCAGAGTAACAGGTAATAATTTTCGTTCACTGTATTTGGTTATGTTATTTCAGAAAGTCTGAAGGTTCTTGTTTCCATACAAAGGTATTGGCATTGAAATGAAAAATTTACCTGCACTCATGAATTCATTGCATTTCCTGGAAAATAAGCTTTTTACATGTATGTGGGGCTTTTCATAAAAAATCTCAACTTCCATCCAAGAATTTATTCCCCAGACAAAGTGAGGCATGCATTCAAAAGTTAGAATCAATTTTTAATTTTATTTTATTACTGAAAGAAAATTTTCTTCTGAAACTGTGGTTCAGTTTCATATAAAAAGGAAACACTGAAGCAGTCTTATTTAAGCCTCAAATATGCTCCAGCTAGAATCATGATTTATCTCAAAAATTAAGATGCACCCGAGCCAAGCTTTCATAGGCTCAATGCAGTTTAAACTCGATCAGTACATTAAAGGATTGATAATCAATAAAATAGCCTAATTATGTAATAGTAGTAATAATATTAACCAAAAATTTAAATTTAATAAGAGCCTTATGATCTCTTAATGTGCCATAGTGTAATATATTTTTATTAAAGATATTTTTTATGTTGAAACAAATAAGTAAAATTTCAATTAAGCATTTAATAAGCTATTTTTGATAATTAAATATTTAGTTTTCATTTTTAAACCCTATGTGATTAAGAATCAAACTTTAATTTTTAACTTAAATTTTATGTAAAAAATTATAATTAGAATAATTGAAAAGACATTGCTCATACATCTCATAAGTCAGTAAGATCTAGTCAAAGCAATAAATTAGCAAATACTTAACACTGTGGTTTATATGTTTGTAAGATAAAGCAATGGAGTAACTAACTTTTGGCACCTGGGGCTATCCCTGATTTTGCCTCCTGGGGTGATCCCTAAATTTGTTGCCTCTTTTTTTTTTTTTTTTTTTTTTTTTTTTTTTTTTTTTTATTACAGTGTTACACACAATGGTATTTGTCAAAGGGAGTGATATCCTATGGAGGACTTTTAAGGGAAACTGCCTTGTATCCATATTACACATGAACCACAAAAGCACCCACGAAGCCAGCCTACTCATCAGGATTTAAATCCTGGACCGAAGTATTAGTGTCTAGTTACTTTATTGCTTGGCAGCTGGTGGGTCTGCTACACTCTTGATATACAAATAAATAACTAAAAATATTTCAAAATAGTATATAGCGAAATAAATTTAAATTCTGCATTTACTTTTGAAGAAAAATTTTAATTTCAACATTTCATGAAGAAAAATTTTAATTTCAACATTTCAAAATTATTTTATTACTTTGCTTTTTTGTTGTTGTTATTGTTTGTGTGTGGGATTTTTTTTTTGGGGGGGGGGGGGAGGGTTGCTCTCAAAATCCTTCATGACATTGAAGAGATCTGTATGATTGCTTCCATTTCTGTAATATATAGACAGTATCGAAACATTTCTTAAATGCACAATAAACATTTATAATTCTAAAATACTTTCTAAATGATTTTTACTTAGAAAACTCTTCTCACAACCAGCAACATTTGCAACAACTGTGATGAAAATTTGCAATAGAATTACAATATTTGGAACTCTGTTCTGGAGATTGTATTTTAGAATAAACTATAAAAATTCAAAAGTTCCACCACCTTCTGCATTTCTGTTTAATTTTTTCTAGCAATAACAAAAATAAAAGCCCTGAAATACTTCTCTCTTAACAAGGAATTTTCGATTATTAATGTCACTGATAATATTTAAAATTCATCATAATTTTGTAGTTATTTATAATTTTCATTCAAAAGTTTCAATGAAATAGAAAAGGTATAGTAAGGGTTTGTAGCTGTTGAAATTTGGTGGTGATTTTTTTAATACTTTATCTCGAGCAAAAGCGATTTTTTTCCCTCAAATTAGTTCTGTATGCAATTCAGAATCTCATTATTCTTTACATGCCCCAACAATCCATGTGAAGAAAAACTTACCTAAAAATGTGCTGAAACCTTCCCCCAAAGGCTGTAGCTATGCTACTGATGTAAAGTACTCCAGACTTTTTGTATAATTCCCTGTTAATTACTTTTTCAGAGTGTAATTATGTTTAAATAGCATCAGATATTAGCCTTTTAGTACAATATTTTATGAAAGAAATTATTATTAATGTTATTAATATTTGTAGATGTATATAAGAATTGCAAGTTTTAGAGGTTTGTTGCCTAATAGGCTGCCAAATTTGTTTTTAGATGTGAATTAGATTTTGTATTATAGTAGTTGATGATAAATTATTACATTAGCAATGCTGTTTTATGGTATGAATAATTTTTAATATTTTTATTAGCATATTTACAGATAATTTTTTTAACATCTCTGTTAATTTTATAAAAGCAAGTTGAAATTATATTGTAAATTTTTGTAGGAATTTTATTATTGAAAGGGAACATTTAATTGGAATTTATTAACACCTTTCAATTATCAGCTTTTTTTAATATATTTAAATGTTGTTATATAAAATCTAATTTGAATATTTCTGTTATATGTATGCATTAACCAATATTTTATTTCTTTCCACATAATCTTAATGCTTGCATGACTTACTGTTCAGGACATACATTCTGCAATTATTTTTTCAGAGGCTTTAGGCACAACATGGGCCAAACATTTTTGCCAGTATCAGAAAGAAAATCACAAGTTCACTATGATACCATATTCGCAAACAACGGGCAAAATAGTAAGTAAAACTGTTCTTTTTCTGTGTTCATTGATCATTACTTCAAAATAATCCAGTAAGGTTATTTATTATAAGGTTGAAGAATATATATTTTTTTTTTGTGTCAATAATATTATTTGTAATTTTATTTGTAATGATAGTGCTTAAAAAATTGAAGAGATCCATTAGAATTTTTTTAATAATGCTAAAATTCCAATTTTAATGTTTACATTATTTAATCATGTTATTATAATGTAATCATGTAAACAAGTCATCCAAAATTTTTAAAAGTTATTTTAAACAATTTTAATTTGATTGAATACTCTTTTTATACATATTTATAATAGCTTTATTAATTCTTAGTATTTTTTGTTAATCTTAGCTGCTACTGAATTATATCAAGCAAATTTGAATTCATGATAGATCCATGAAAATGTCTCATTTTAATTAATTTTGCTCTTGTACTAACTTACAGCTTATTTTATAACAGAAAATGAAAATGCACCAATTTTTTTCATTGCTGAATATAAAAAGTCAATTGAATATTGATATTATTGGCTCTCATTATCGAGTGAAAATTTACAAAAATATATGTATTATGGTTAATACAACTGTTGAATTAGAATTTAGATAGCCTAAATTAAAAGCAATTGAACAACATGTTAAAACGATGGGATATGGATAGTTCAAAAATAGAAAAAAGAATCAAATGCTGAATTAGTTTAAATTGAATGAACTGATTGAGCAAAGTATAACTTGCTACAACTCTGTATTTCTTTTTCATATAGAATTCAAATTGCATTTCAGTATTATGGTTTTGTTTAGCATTGAAAAGCAGTTTTGAGATCCTAAGATTATTTAAAAAAAAAAAAAAAAAGGAAAAGAGGGATGCAAGCTTTTGCTAGAGATTGCTTTTAGTTGGTTTTGGTGACTGCTAAATTTATACAAATTAAGTTATTTATGTTGCAATTAGATATTTAAGAGCACTTGTTTGCTCTTGACTATCAAGTTTCATTAATTTTTTTAAAAGAGCCTAAAAATATATTTAGATAATATTAAATTACTTTTGGAAATTAGTGTCAAATGCAGTGTATTTTATATAATGTACCTAAAACATTTAAGAGAATTAATCGAGTAACATTTGACTATTTTTAGACTTACTTTTAGATTTTTATTATTATTATTTTAAACATAGTCTATTGAGTATTTGAATTATTTTCATAGTACTCTTCTACTTTTTACTTATATATGTGCTGCTCTCTTCAGCAACTCTTATATGAAGCAGGTGAGGACATCTTAGGTTTATTCAATATTTTTTGTATATAAATTGAAACCATGTTGTTGCAGTTCTGTCACTAGGCAGCATTTAATGCCCATGATGGTATTTTAAAAAGAAATTTCATTGTATTAGTAGTAATTAATGTTACCTGAGTCCTGATGTGTGTTTAAGTGCTATTCACTTCATGGCTATTGTTGTATTATGTTTGAATAGCTTTCAGAAGCTAAAATATATCTATATAAATTATCTTCTTTTTATATTGTTTATTTAATCATTTTAAATGAGGTGATTTATTTTATTTATTTTGCAGGCTGCTCCAGAAACATACATTTTGAAAGAATGCATTAGGTAAAAATTATCTTGTAATGCATGAATTATTGAAGTATTCAGTTCATCAACATTAAAATTATTTTGAGTGTACAAAATATATTCAAACATTTCATTCAGCCCTGAATCAAATAAAAAATAAATCATAATTAATTTACAAAATATCTTAATCTTTTTTAAATTATATAATATATTGCACTTTTCACTGTGTTTTGATGTTATCATTTAATTTCACAGTAATTTGTATAGTTATAACAGTAGAGCTTAGTTAAGTATGTAATTTCAAAAAATTAGTTCTCCTTAATTAATTTTATCATATTAATGTATTTTTTTTAATTATTTAGAATGGTTGGTATCAAAAGTTACTTTAAAATAACATGTTTCAAACTGATAATTTTACTGAACTGATTTTTAAAATGGCATACTGAATCCTTAATTAGGATATTCTTTATCCCTTCATTAAATTAGATCAGTAATGGATACAATTTAAAGATGTAACAATAATGTGAATACAATGATAATACTTACATGTACTGTATAGAGCATTTTCTATGTAGCATTTTTTAAACTTACAAAACTCTGCTGTATCTAGAGTAATTTTTCGCACTGTATTTATTTATAGTTGTGTTAAGCATTGTGTTCAGTGCATTGACTCAATTAGATTTCATGCTGACTTTTCACACAGTAGATGTTATTGAATATAGCAGTTTCATTTTCGTTTGCTAAACTGACTTCTTTATATTAAATGTATTGTATGAAATGTATAATATTTATTATTATTATATGAAGAGTGTTATATAAAATTGTATTCAAAATTTTGGAATTTTATCTTTCTCCTCACCCCCCCCTTTTTTGTATTATAGGCGAATGTCAGATTCTATAGACAAGAGATTTTGCTTTGACATAATAGTTGAAGATAAACCTGGTGTCTTAACTTTTCAAGCCCTCTCAGAAGAAGATAGAAGGTTATGGTTGGATGCCATGGATGGAAAAGAACCAGTATGTACTTAACATCATTTAATTTATTCATTCATATAATTATAATCATGTTCTATTTGTAGAAAATAGGAATTTGTTTTGTATTTGAATAGCAGAGAAATTTGTAACTGTTTTGTTTAATATATGATGTACTAGGATTTGTGTTGAAGCTTTACTGCCATATCTGGCTCTTCGTTTATTTTGTGATTGATAATTTGTCTGCTAACAGGATAATTGCTTATATTGTTTATTTTTCTTCTCTTAATTGATAATTTTATCATTAAATGAAGCAGAACATATACTATTATATATGGTACACTTACTTAAACTAATTTTGCATTTCTCCCTTGATTTATAATTTTACAATTTAATGGCTGGCATACACATACTGCACATACTTTCTTTTGGAAAATAAACACATGTGCATCAAAATACATTATATATGATATTTATTTAAACACTAATCTTTCAGAACAATTAATAAAAACTATAAATATTTCGTTATTTCCTAAACTAGGATATAACAGTTGAAAGAGTTGCATTTAGCAATATCTTTTCTAGCATCTTTTCAGTCTATATTACTAATCCATGCTTCTTTTTGTTAGTAATTTGACACATAATTAAAATTATGTCATTTCCTATTCATTCATCATGCATTTTATTTCTTAAATTATATTTATTGTATATAATGAAGGTATTTGGATTGTATTAAAATGTTAATTTTCTAAATACACGCTAGTAATTCCATGCACAATGCTGGGTTTTCCTGTAATGTGATGATTCACGATGTGGAACTATTGATTCATTAGTGGTGAATTGTAAAGGATTGTTTATATTTCCTGACCCCCATTTTATTTAAGGGAACTTATTTTTCAAGTAACAATTTAGGAACAGACTTTAACATTTGCACTGCAATTCCTTTCTTGTTAATAGATAAGACACTTTATAATAGTTACTGTTCAGCTTGGTTTATTTGTGCTTATAGAATGCTGAATTGTCATTATTTTAAAATATATGTGAATATTTTATATATAATTATGAACATTATAAATTTTACAAACAAAGATGAAACTGAAAATGAACCTGTATTTCTTATATGAGTTGTTTTTGTTTTCAGGCATATAGTCATATAAATAAGCAACCAAAACAAGAAGAATGTAAGTCAAGTTTTATATTTTGCAGTTGTAAATAGTTCTGTGTAACTTCTAGAGGTATATGTTAAATGTTTTCTTTTCCATAGATTATCTTGATGAGATTGGATTTGCTTTTGTGCAACAATGTATAGATGCTATAGAAGCAAGGGGTTTGGATGACGAAGGGTTGTACAGATTAGTAGGTGTGAGCTCAAAAGTTAATAAGTTAACCCAAATGGCATTAGGTAAGTTAATTTTTTAAGTATAATACAATTATTTATCTCTTTATGTATGAATTATATTTTTTAAAGCTGTGCTTATTAAGTAATTAATATCTTTTATTACACATGTTGCACCTCATTCTCAAATTTGCGCTGGCTTGTAATTTTTTTGAATTTGTTAAGTTAGTAAAAGTGTATTACAAATCAAAAAAGTTACTAATTAAATATGAAGATAAAGTAAATCTAGCATATTTAAGAATTTGTGTTTTATATTTACAACAACATATTGATATGTATATATTCTAATATTCATTATTGTTTTATTAGATTGGAGATATTTATTCTTTATAGCTGTATTGCATAATGTCAAATGAACTGTTTCACAAGAAAAAAAACAATTTTTCGCTTGTGTTTTAGGTTGTATATCAACTGGCATTTCTTTCATCTTTATTTCAGGAAGGAAAGCTTATTGTTAGTAAACACTCTGGCATCATATCATTTTGTTTTAAATTCATATTAAAAACAATTTCTATAAAAACAATAAACAACAATTTTTATTGCACTCAATAATGCAGGCAATAATTCAGAGCAAAACTTAGAATTTGGGACTTCCTTTTGGGGAAGGAGGGATTTTCTTGCATTGCTTTAAGCATGGCTGATAATTTTGGAGGGTCAGGATGCTGTATTTTTATTTTACATTAACATTATGAATATGAGAAATACTAATACAATGTATATATGAACTTCAATTTATCATTCTACATTTATGTATCATTGTTATATGATGTTATACTAGATTGAGTTTAAATTGTTGTCATGCAGTTTTTTTTAGCACCAGAGTTGCTATTAGACTCAAACCTCACCTTTTTTTATCTGTATCACTTTTCAAATGTTGTTGCCATGTGTTATTTTTAAAAAAATATAGTGAATATAAAATGACACTTCAAAATAAAGAATGTTGCTACATTCAAAATAGAGGATGTTGCTACCAAATGTTATCTCTATGTAATAGTTTTAATGAAATTATAAAGTGAGTATAAAAAAAAGTATAGTGACACAAATATATTGCCATCATATGTTATCATTATGCATTATTTTTATTGAAGTAATACAGCAAATATAAATAAAGTATTGTAAAAAAAAAAGAAAAAAAAAAAAGTAACACTTTATCTGGAATTCTAAAGATATCCAATAAAGATTATTTGTAACTTCCACATGCCCATTTATTGTTGTTTGAGAAGCTTAAGATATTTAATTTCTCTTTTAAATTTAATCTGCCTGTAACTGATTAACAAAGTAAATAGTTTAACACATTCACGCCGGGGCCAATTTACGGCGATCGAATTGTTGCTGCGTTTCATGTGGCGGTGCTTGATTATTACCTGCTCAGACCTGTGCATGAGTTGTATGTTTGCTAATAGTTATTAATTATAACTGTTATTAAAAAAGTTTTTATAATAAATAAACATTAATCCCTCATTATTTTAATTTTCAGCGTCTAATAACACAATCAAATGTGTACTATCGATTGCATGCACCACTCGATAAGACAGACTAGTGCAGGCCATCGGTGGTACATGCCGCTTAAGGAGACAGACTAGTGCAGGCCACCGGTGGCCCGCGCCAGCGTGAACGTGTTAGAAGAAAAACACATAGTTATTTCTTTTATCAAGTACCACCTAGACCCGTGAAATTATACTATCTGGATTTATTAAAAGTATTATATAATAATTTTTATATTAACTATTTTAGGTGGCTGGCCTCAACAGCCTCTAGTTATTTGAAAAATGAAACAGATAACAAAAATGATTCAAAGCAAAGTTCGAGATTAATAGCCCTTCTCTACTAAAAAATGTATGGCAGCACTTAATACTATTTCTGGAATTCTAGAGATATACTATTTTTTAAAAAATTTAGATTTTGTAGGGTGTAAAGTGCAGAGAAAGTTCAATAATAAAGTTTAAAAAAATGTTGTATCAGCAGGAACTTGTCTGAAAGCAGATAGATAAACTGTGAGCTGAACAATATAGAGCATTAAAAGTCTTAACAAACCTTCTGGGGCAATATTTAAAATCTGAATTCTTTCAGTTTTTGCTTGTTTGTTTGTATTTTTGTTTTTGGGCGTGTATGTCATAATTATGTGATATAAATATTCAACATGAATTTTTAAATTGTGCTGTCATTCTGAACAGTGAAACTTGTAGATACAGGAGGGCTCAAGATAAGCCAAACCCAAAGCAAGTGAAGAACACATGAGCATGTCTGGTATGGTTTATCTTTATAAGTCTATATGAGAAAGATAAACCATACCAGACATGAGAGACTTCACTTGCTTTGGATTCAGTTCATCTTGGGACACCTGATATATGTTAAATTATATAATACATATTTTTTCTACCTCTTCGCAGATCGAAGAAAAAATGAAAAAATTAATTTAGAAGATGCTGATGAATGGGAAATTAAAACTATAACCAGTGCTTTAAAAACCTATTTTAGGTATGTCAGTATGTTTATGTTTTCAAATTCTATTTTATTAACTTCTATCTCTTGTTTATTTTATTCAGTTTTAATTTATTTCTTTAAATATTTTAGAAACCTTCCAGAACCATTAATGACATTCCGGTTACACAGTGCCTTCATAGCAGCAGCAAGTAAGTTTATAGCCCCCTTTTCTTGATTCTAGTTAATTTTATTCTGTTCACAGGACAAGCTTAACATAACATGCATTTGATATCAAAGTTATTTATATTATAATCTGCTTTAAAATAGGATTTAATTGCATTTCTGAGAAGATATTTGAGTTACAAAATATTTTAAAGTACACTCAGTACTTAAATTCTTTTGAAATTGTTGGAGTATATTTAAATATTTTAGTGGAAATTATGAGCAATTAAAAAATTCATTATAAGATATAAAAACAATGTAGGCTCATGTTATTACACTAAATTTACTAATATAAATGAAAATGAAAGCATATTAATATTTTATGTTAAAGAGTTCATACATATTTTTAGATGATGTTCATATTCTCTCTGCAATGGGTTATGGTTTTCAATATATATATATATATATATATATTGTTTGAGTGATTCAGAGCATGATGATGACTGCTGTTGTCATATATTTAGTTTAATATATGTAATGTCTTATTATACAGTTATTTCCTATTATTGAAAAGAAAAGTGTTAATTTTATAAATTTCACTTGATCAGTTTGAATTTTTTTTCTCAGAATTAGATAATATGGATGAAAGGATATCAGAAATCCAGTCGCTTGCCCATCGACTTCCCAAGCCAAATTTTAGTATGTTAGAAATACTTGTTGCTCACCTATGCAAGTAAGTGCTTGATGAAAGTGAATTTTTTCTCACTTTTTTCCAGATTGCTTGCTTAAAAATAGTTATTAAGTACTTAATATGCAATTTTTTATGTATTACAGACGTTAATCAATTCTAAAATTATCCGTCACCATTTTGCAATAAAAACATTAATTTAATGTTGATGTAAGAAATAATTTGAGAATAGGAAACTTATTAAAAATAAACATTGATATTCAGTACATATGATTGCCCAGATTTACTGTGTTAGTCTTATAGGGAAATTATTTTTTTAACATGAAAAGTGCTTTCTTAACTCAGAAAATAGGCTAAAGAAAGAATCTTTTAGTTTCAAAAATGAGTTAGATCAATGTAGGAATTGCTAAATTAGTTCAGAAACATTAGTTTAGTAGCTGTGATGAAGATACCAAGATCCCAAGCTGATATTAATAAGTGCAAATATTAATTCTTTGTTTGAATTAAAACTATTTAGTTTAGAGATGTAGGATGGATTAAAAGTTTAGCATTTGATTACAAAGTCTTGCAGCTATATAATTTTGTAAAAGACATCTGAATAATACTTGCATTGTGTCTTTCAGTGTTTTTCATGTTTTATTATACAGTTTTACTGTTTTCTCTTATGACTTAAAAACAGTAATCTCAGTGTACAGAAGGAACACATTTTATGTTATGTTATAGAAATTTATGTATATAATGATGCTTATTAAAAAGTGAACAAGGTGATATTGTTATGCTTTACAAATTTTATATTTTTAATTTTTAGAGTTGCAAAACATTCTGACAAAAATCTCATGACAGTTTCAAACTTGGGTGTGTGTTTTGGTCCTACACTTTTGCGTCCGGAAGAGGAAACTGTTGCGGCTATTATGGATATCAAATTTGGAAATATAGTATTAGAAATTTTAATAGAACAATATGAAAAGGTATTTTTATTATGTAATAATAAAAGGTTTTAATTTCTGTTGCAAATGTAATTCAATTAATTTAATGCCTTTCACATTTTATTTCTAAAGAATAATTTTATCATTGGTGATAAAGTAACTTTTTAATGTATATCTTCGGCATGTAAAAACATATAACATAAATAATGTATATTTTTTCACTCTGTCGTCATGATTTTAAACACTATGTGAGAGATTAGTTCTTGTTTAAATATATAAATAAGAAATAGAATTGAGATTCACTGTTGATATGGTTTATTTTAATTTTATAGTTTATTTAAATGATAAATGGTGTTTTAATATTGTTTGGCATGCTTAATAATGGATTTTAGAGTAGGAAATATTTTCAGTATAGAATTTGTATATTTAATTGCTGTAGTTTTCTGGCAAAAATTAAATTTTAAAGTAAAACACCATCCCCAAAAATAGAACATTTACAACTAAATTAAAAGCCATGAAAAATACTCATTTATATGCAGTGCATGTATTCAGGAAGTAAAATCTGCTCAAACAACAATAAAAGGGGGGGAATATTCATTAAAAACCCTTACTTAAATCTTTTTGGTAGTCCAAAACTGTTAGAAGATTTTAAGCTGGATTAAATAAGTGAAACTCGACAAGTTATCTTCCCTGAACATTTACAGAAAAAGAAAAGTTTAATACTGTGTGTGATAAAGCTATATCAGTTTGCCAAAATAAAAAGAGAGAAAAATGCAAAATTATGTTATAATAAATTAAATATTATTTTAATCTGTCTATGAGGCATTTTATGGTGACTTTATTATCTCTCACAGAGAAGCAGATAGCCACTCATGATTATTTTACCCATATTTTTTAGCCTTTTAAAATAAAATCTCAGCTGTGAAAATTGCAGTGTTGGAATTCATGTTTGAAAGGAAAGGATCACAGATCCACTATTTAACTGTGTTGGGATCAAGATAGAAATCTTTAAAACAATTCCCTTGAAATTTTGAGTGTTTGTAGTCTTCTCAATTCCATTCAATTTCATTATGTAACATCAGTTAAAACAAAGAGTTCTTAGCTTCTGTATTTAATAGATTTTACTGATTGTTCAGCATTTAATTAATTTTATTTTTTTCCAGATATTTTTGTCTTCATCTATAAATGGTGATACAAAAAAAGAGAATATAAACTCTAAAAATTCTCAGAAATCTACTTCTGTATTACACCATGGCACAATATCAAGTGATAATCACAAAGAGCCAGTCGCACCACAACGAAGATCTAAAAGAGAAACTGTTTATGTTATGGATGCTGGAAGACCACCTGGGCAATCCAACCATTCATCTCGATCATCTCATTCCGGATTCTCTGTTTCTCCTCGAGCAGAAAGTATGTACCTGGACAATTCTACATCTGCTCAGCGTGTTATGGTAGTTCAGCCATCTTATGTTCAACGTCAGTCATACCACTCAATGATGTCATCGTCAGTTCAGGGACATTCTTCAATGACTACGGCATCAACACAAAAATCATATTCTTCATCTTCATCATCACGTACCACACAACAATCATCCAGCAGGTCTCAGCATTCTGTTTCTTCAAATGTCAGTTCTAACCAACAGTCAAGGAATGTTGTTCCCCAAAGAAACAGAGGGAAGCCCTTAGTGGTTTACAACCCATCATGGAATGGTTGGTTTCAATCAGATGGCTTTTTGCACTTTATTGCGAAATGTCTGGAAATATTTTATGTTAAAGTAAAGAGTTTATACGTATTTTTAGATGATGTTCATATTCTCTCTGCAATGGGTTATGGTTTTCAATTTAAAAAAAAAATTAACTTGATATAGTTTTTCTTTAATACATATGTTATGTATCAGCAAGTTAAATGTTCAAAAGCTCTGATTTTGTGACATGCACAATACAGCTCAAAATTAGGTTTATTATTTAGTTCTTTTCTTTCTTAATATTTAATTTTTTATAATACATTATAGATAGTGTGGATTTTATTAAAACTCTCTACATTGTATTGTAAACAGTCACTGTGTTAATAAGTAAATATATGCAAATTGCAAATAATTATTAATAGATATTAACAAATTTATGAAGTAGTTGGATATTTATGCAATGAAGATTTCTAGAATGTTGTGCATTGCTAAGTTTATTGAAATTAATGTATTTTAAATATATTTTCATATGTTACTATAAACTGCAAATAAAAGTGATTTGATAAGAAGAGCAGCAATATATGAAAGTGGGAAGGCTGTATAAAGGTAATAAGTTTTTTTTTAATAGCAGGAAAGTTATATGAATATTTCGTCTCAGGTAGTGCTTATATCCTGAAAATTTAAACAAATAATGTAGTCTGATAAATATATATTACAAATGTAAACAACTTAAAAAATAGGCATCTATATATATGCTTTGCTGTGAAGATATTCATTATGTTTTATTTGAAGCTTCCTGATGGCCATATAATCTTTCATACTTTTCGTCATCTTTTACATTTAAAAAAACCATGTTATTCAGTGTCTTGGCCAGTGAAACTGTAGCAGTTGTATGTATAATGTTTTTTACTATTTTGTACTTTTAGGATAAACTGGTTATTATCATATAGCGTCATCTGTACCATCAGTACCGTAGGGAAAATATAAAACAATTGATGAAGAATAATTTCATGTGCAATACATAACTAATTTTAATGCATATTTTTTAGCATTTTAATGTATTTTTAATGCATACTGCAGGGTATCTTGTAAGTCTGGAATCATAATCTGGGACAACTTTGGATAAAAAAATTATTTTTTGTCTAAATGTCTACTATACATATAAAAATGAAAATGATATTTCCACTCCACATCCAACCCAGATAGTGTAGCAGTTAGCAGATACTTTTTTATCCTGGTCTTTATAGGTTTAAGTTCAAATCCTGTTTAAGACATAGACTTTTGCAAGTGTAATGTCTTTTCAGCATTAGGGTGCTTTAATCTGTTGAACTGAGATTCCTGTTTAAAAATTGATGATAGGGGAAAAGAGATTTGAGATCCCTAGATTCCATCTTCCAGATGCTCTCATTAAGTGGAACTTAAGCTGATATGCTTTTTGTATTTTACCTAAATGAAATAATCCAGTCCATTCCTTTTCTTCACAAGAATACCTTACTACTAAACTCTGTGACACAACAACCCTAGTGGGCTACAGCCTGCAGTACCCTGAAATATGCTTTCTTGACCTTGGGCCCTGGAGTGCGTCAGCATAGCCCTGGGCGCAAATGGTCAGCTTTTCGCAGGACCCCTGGTGTTTAGTCCCCAAGCGAACTTGGTACTTATTTTATCGACCCACTCAAGGGATGAAAGGCTGAGTTAACCTTGCCCAGCCTGGAGATAGAGCCCCGGACCTGTGGACCACTAGCCACTTTGTCACCATGCGATTTTCCTTTGATTACATTCTTTGGCTAGTTTCCATAATGCATTGTCGAAGAACATAGACTGATCAGGCCTATTATTTCAAACTTATGGGTTACTGTGTAGAATATTTTAATGATTATTATGTTTACATCTCTTTTATTTTAGACCACCATACATCGAGTAGCAGCAGCTCAGAATCCTTAAACTCTCCTCGTTCTTCTGCTAACTCAAGTCATCATATGCTGACACATACATCCCCCTCTTCTTTGAAGTCTAGCTCCTCACATCATCAGCCATTGTCTCATGGATCTCCACCAGTTCGTACCAGTTCTTCCCATCACCAACTGGCTACACATTCTGCCCCAGCGTCAGCATCTCACCACCACCATCCAGCTTCCAACCAATCTATTAAAACTAGTCCATCTCAACATCGAAGGATGGATAAATCTTCTTATAGCCCAGCACATTCACCGAACAGAGCCGGTAGCAGGTCTACTGAAGGACACAGAGGAGCAGGTGTTGCTCCAGTTGGAGTGGGAGCAGAAAAACCCAGACGTAGTAATAGGGCTTTAGATGTTGTTGGACATCAAAGGCATGGTTCTGCTGGTGAGGATATTTCTTTAGGTACTTTTTAAATTAAGATTTACTGCATATAGATTAACACAACGATACTAGCATCAGTCTGGCTTACGTTTTGAAGTAATATTTACCTGTAAATGAATATGGCCTGTATGTATTTCTTAAATGTGGTGAAAATATAATTCATTTCCATATAAGTTATAAAAAAGGGATGTAAAATCTAATTTTATAAATTTCACTTTTTTTAAAGAATGTGTATTTTCATATTGAAAAATATTTCCTTACCTTCCATTATTATCCTTTTCAATGCAGTGTTATATCAATGCTAAGTAACCTAATTGTTTTGCTACTAAACTCTCAATCTTTCTAGCAATTGTAATAACTATTCTAGTTCATTATTTCCTGCATTATTACCATTTCATGCATTCATTCATCTTCACTATTTTTTTTTGCAAAGACTATTTTATTGATAATTAATTTTCTTCATATAATATGTATGCTGCTTCTTTCATGTTTTTGAAAATTTTCAGGTTCAAGAGAATACTTCGTCAGTGGAGTTAGGCAAAATAATGTGTGAGTTGGAAAGTTTTTAAATAATTTATGTTTTATTTTATACTGTATGTTATTTTACTTTTCGTTAAAACTTTAAAAGAGGATATTCATTAATAGATAGAATTATCTAATTTTAAGCTGAAACTGTTGCAAATTCTTTGCACATAAATTTAAAACATTAAAAATAATTTTTTAGCTATCTAGAAACACATAACGTCTTTAAGGATAATGCAAATATATTATATGAATAATATATGTTTTAATGTCTATCAATAAATTATTTTATCCCATTTTCCTGATTTCAAGAAATATCCGGTGTAACTGAAACTTTTTTTTATGTTGCATATTCATTAATTTCACAAATAACAGACTGTATGATAAAATATGGTTTTTATTTGCCATCCATATCTGCTGTCAGTGAAACATTCCTTACTTTTTAACATCTGGTTGAAAGTGTTATTTGCATGACAAATGAAGCAGGAAAAGTAAGACCATTGACATTTTAAGGTCTAAATTTGGCTTAAAGAAGATATATTAGATGTTTGATGGGGAATGGAGTTGTTATTTTTTACTCGCTGATGAATCTTTAATGGTCAAAAGAAACATGTCACATAATTGTGTTAGTCAGTTAAGAGATCTCTCACTAAAACTAGTGATGATCCTCTTCTATAATAGGGAAATGATAGATATGTCTGAATTACTGTTTCTATTTTATGATGTTTAGATATTTTATCTCGGTCTCAAACTCAAATTTCAAATGGGCCAAATGCAGGACTGAAAGTAGTTGACCAGACCATAATAAAAAAAGAAAGAAAAATAATTTTTTTGTTAGCAAAACAAAATTTGTTCACTAAATCAAAAAACATTGTACTACATATAAAAATAATTCAAAGAAAAATTAAAATTTATACTTATTTTCTACCTGAAATCCAAAGGTTGGTATCTGCAAGAAATTTCTAGTTACAATTTGTAATTCAAATGTATTGACAGATAAGTTTTAGAATTTTCATATTGACATTTATTCAAATAATTGAAATATATTAAAGTAACTGCTAAATATTTTTTTATTGTTAACTTAAACTGAAAAGAAATACATGAAAACTTTCTAAGAGAGACAAAACTTGAGAAACAATAGCAACAACCTGTTTGTTCTCTTTCTTTTATTTATTAGATTACTGATCTTTTATTTATTAGATTTGCACCCAAAAATTTTTTTATGTTAATAATTATAAACTTCTTTGTTTATTACAACACCTTTCTGTTACAACATTTCATGGTGTTTCGATTGTCATAAAGTTTGTAATCCTGGAGGAAAATTACCAGAAAGTACAGTCAAAAGTCGTTAATCCGGACTGGTCGGGACTTCGGCGATTCCGGATTATCGATTTTTCTGGATTATAGATCTTCAGTTTAAATCTCGTAAGATGGCATGCAGAAATTCTAAAATTAAAAATATAACACCGTAATTTATGAAATAAAGAAAAATTATGATCTAAAGGGTAACAAAATTTACAAAAAAAAGCTTAATATTTATTTGTTTACTTTATTAAACATTTCTATCAATGTAAGTTGTTTAAGTTGCTTCGTTTTATGTGATAATACTTTCTCTTTTATTCTATAAACAGACATAATTTCTTGTTCAGTTACAAAGTTCCGCTGTTCAAGTTCCGTAATTGCTGTGCCTAGAATACCGACTAACTTGTCAATCGAAATTTTTTCGTTTTCACTAACCTCTCTGTCACCTTCTTCATGTCTTTATCTATTTTTTGCAGCAATTCCACTTTTTGTTTGATGGACATCGAAACATACTTTCGTTTTGTAGATCCTTTGGGAGCTCCAGCATCGGAAATTCTATTTGACATAATCGAAAGTTCAAGTTTACTTTTATAAAATTGCTCTTACAGTCTGCAAAAAATAATAAGTGGGATCCAATTCGAAGATTAAGGAACAACGCAATCATTAATGTTAACTGAAATAGATAATTTTAGCTTACACTCTCCGTTATACATTAAACGCGCAGGCGAAAATGTATTCTGCACTTGCACACACGCATATGCGCAGTCGTCAAGGTCTTACTCGCACACGTAAAGCGTCTGTGTGCATGTGCCAACGCTGCGCATGCGCAGAAAGATTTTAGCTTTGAGGTCCAGATTATAGATCATTCCGGATTATGGGTGTCCGAATTAACGACTTTTGACTGTATCTTCATCACAAATTATAGATACCATTGGCAATCTGATTCTTTTGTAGACTTATTAACTTTCAGACTATGGGAAAAAAGTTCTTCGCATGTACTCCGAAACAAAGCATCCATTCTTATTGAAAAAATTTGTAGCTGAGAATATTTATCTTTTGACAAGTAGTAATAAAAGTTAATAAAATTTGTGTCTTCTGATCTTTGAATAAGATTTATATCATAGTGTAAATTAATTAGTCAATTTCCAGGATTTTGAAATCATTACTCGTGTTCATTTTTGATAATGAAAAAAAATGTAACGTTGGATTTCAAACCATTAAAATCTTAAACTTTTCCTTCTAATTCTTGTAATAATAAAACTCAATAATTTACAAGAAATGTATTTGCAGGCCTCCTAAAATTGCTTCATTTGGCCAGCAAAAGCCCTCAGACCACCAATTTGAGACCACTGATCTATCTTTCCAAAAATATTGGAAACAAATTTTTAAAGTATATATTTAGTTAAAGTATTAGTCATTTTTGCTATTGTCACAACCTGTTCTTTTTCTAGAAGAATATAAATGGCATTCAGTGTCATAGCATCCTGTTAGTAACAGATTTGAAACTGGTGAAAGTTGAAATAAAAAATTTTACGAAATCTTTTATTTCAATAGTTGTGCTATTAATAACGAATATTGATGTACATTGGATTTCACTATTGATTTTGGTAGCAGAAGTAATGAATACCGCAGTATATTAGATTTCTGATTCTAGTACAGGAGTAAACTGATTCCTTCAGGTAATTCTTTGCCAAACCTGCCAATCCGTGTCCTGATATATATTGTCAAGATGAACTGCCACCATTTATGGCACAGTTCACTGTACCATATACCAGTGGACGTCCATAATCCGGACCTCAATGCTACAAACTTTCTGTGCATGCCATAATGCCTTTAGGCATGCGCATAATACGCATGCACATAACGCGCATAGTACGTTTACGCATGCGCATTTAATATATAATGGACAGTATAAGCTAAGCTAAAATTATCTAATTATCTATTTCAGTTAATGTTGCAGATTGTATTGTTCCTTAATCTTTGAATCGGATCCGGCTTATTATTTTTTGCAGACTGTTAAAGCAATTTTATAAAAAGTAAGCTTGAACTTTCGATTATGTCAAAAAGAATTTTCGATTCTGGAGCTGCCAAAGGATCCACAAAGCGAAAGCATGTTTTGATGCCCATCAAACAAAAAGTGGAACTGCTGCAAAAAATGGATAAAGACATATCTTTTGTTTCTCAAACCATTCCAAAATCTGTTTATCAATTTCACGCTGCCCTGCAGGAGGGGGTACGTTGCTGCGCGCAATGAACTAGAAATTTATCTGTCAGCACTATCCTAATCTTCAGGGCAGATGTTTTTATTTTATTCGGCTTATAATTCCTTACTAAATGTAGTATTTCATCTCGATGTACTCCGTCTTTCATATGATTTAAATCAAATTCCTCGTCATTATAAATATCACGAATACACATAAAATAGTTTTCTGGTTGCAATTTTCTAATTTCGACTATGTGTAATGTATGCTTTACGCATGCGCGTGTTGAAAGAAATGTTTAATAAAGTAAACAAATAAGTATTAAGCTTTTTTTTTTTTCTAAATTTTGATACCCTTTAGATCATAATTGCTCTTTATTTCATAAATAATGGTTTCATATTTTTAATTTTATAATTTCTGCATGGCATCTTACCAGATTTAAATTGATGATCTATAATCCCGAAAAACCCCTAATCCGGAATCGCTGAAGTCTCGACGAGTCCAGATTAAAGATTTTTGACTGTATGTTTTGATAAATATTTAGTAAACAAAATTTTAAACTGATTTAAAATATTTTTTATTTTGTTAATAAAATTTTTCATTTTGTTTAAAAATAACTTCTGGCCCTTCAGCTGTTTTCATATCATGTATTCAACTGGCATGCAGTTTGGGCTTGTGGCCACTGCCATAAAATCGCAACAAAAATCGTTCATTTCTAAAAAGTGTCTCAATACCTTCGATGAGCTTGTATATGTAGAATTTTTGAGATAATCATACTTGAATAGGTCTAAATTGTAGGATATTTATTATATTTAATATCAAATTGGATTTCTCATAATTTTTGTTTGTAGTGATACTGTCATATTTTCAGTAAGAAGCATTTCTATGTTTTAATATAAATTATAAATATATGTATATATATTATTCCTCATTAAAATAGTTTTCAAAAAATTTTCTTCATTGCAAAATCGCTTTTTAAATTTAATTTAAGCCTTTGAGAAATTCTATTGCATTTGATTTTTTTTTTTACTTTTAGCTGTTATTTTTGGTTTATACATAGAAAATAAAAATTTGATGATGTAATGTAAAAAACTGAAAAGGGGTAATATGCTTATTAGAAGTTTTACATTTTAAATGAATATAGTTTATTAGAAGTTTTTTATTTTAATGAATTTTAAATACATACATAAATTATAAAAATGAATTAAAAAAATTAAAACTATTTTTCTTTATAGATAAGATGATAATACAGTCGAAAGTCTTTAATTCGGACTTGTCGGGACTTTGGCGATTCCAGATTATCGGTTTTTTTCCGGATTATAGATCCCGTAATTTATGAAATAAAGAGCAATTATGATCTAAAGGATATCAAATTTTACCAAAAAAAAAAAAAACTTAATACTTTATTTGTTTACTTTATTAAGCATTTCTTTTCAACATGCACACATGCGTTAAAGCATACATTATGCACATAGTCAAAATTAGAAAATTGCAACCAGAAAACTATTTGATGTGTATTCGTGATATTTATAATGACGAGGATATTGATTTAAATCATATGAAAACGGAGAGCATCGAGATGAAACACTACATTTAATAAGGAATTATAAGCTGAATAAAATAAAAACATCTGCCCTGAAGAAAAGGATAGTGCTGACAGATCAACTTCCAGTTCATTGTGAGCCATGCCGTCCTACCCCCCTCCCCCCGCAGAGCAGGGTGAAACTCATAAACAGATTTCGGAATGGTTAGAGAAAGAAAGGATATGCCTTTATCCATTTTTTGCAGCAATTCCACTTTTTGTTTGATGGACATCGAAACATGCTTTCGCTTTGTAGATCCTTTGGCAGATCCAGAATCGGAAATTCTTTTTCACATAATCGAAAGTTCAAGCTTACTTTTATAAAATTGCTCTAGCTTATACCATGCGTTATACATTAAACGCGCATGCATAAACGTATTATGCGCATGCGTACACGCATATGCGCATGCATAAAGGTATTACACGCATGCGTTGGTAGCTTTGAGGTCCGGATTATAGATCATTCCGGATTATGGACGTCCGAATTAGACTTTTGACTGTATATAGATACATATAATCTTTTTTATAGAAGGAGTAATAATGAGAAATTATAAGATATAAAAAATAAAGGGGACTTTCCGTTTCGCCGGTGCAAATCTCGCCAAGCAGACCTTATTGGCGACAACATACATTATACACATAAAAAATGCTAACAGATGTTAGTTCTAAGAATTTTTATTTTGAAGGCAGAAACATTTTAATATCATTTAAAATTTTGTAAAAAGACAATAAATAAAGACAATAAATTTGTAAAAAGACATTAATTTAAGAATTTACAATGCTCTCATGGTTGAACATCCTGATCCGCCGGTTCGTATCACGTGACCCCTAGTGATCTCATCTCATGTGAAGTACGCTAAAAAAATCTAATTCTCTCAGTAATTATCTACATTAATTTCAAGCTAAATCTTAATTTGGAATGCAAGTTTAAATGCAAGAATTATTTCAATTCATATGAATAGTTTACTCGGAAATTATGTAAAACCACAGTGCTTTACTTCGATAGTGCATTCTCCTTAGAATTGATGAATTTAATGCTTGACTTCGCCTTTTCTATATTTTCGCCTTCAGGTGAGTGCTGTGATTGCATCCCAATTGACTTAATTACGGCAAATGGCCTTAGGGCATAAAATTGAGCTATCTGGTAAATATTTTATGTAATTGTATACCAGTATTGAAAGAAATAATCAATCTGATAAGAAATGGTTGCAACTTGTTTTTGAACATGAGGCGTAAAAGGTTACCATCGAAGATATTCCGTTTGGCATCAGTTGTACCATTATTGGAGACTTTATCGCCTGTGCTGGCAAAACGGAAAAGTACCGAATAATATTATAAGATGTTGCATAAATCAAATAAATTGGTTTAGCAATACATTTAGTATTGAACTATTGTATAACTCATTTGCAAGTGTGTAATGCTAGTACAAAATGCAATTTTAGCTAATACAAAACTCAGTTTAGCCTGTGCAGTGCTTAAAACAGCAAAAGGTAGAAGTATAATAATTCTAATGTTGTTGTCATGTATATTATTTTCTTTTATCTTTTCATTTCATAACTCGCTGCAAAACACTTAATTAATTTTTATTATACTAGGTTCCCTGCTAGTCCATCAACATCATCATCATCATCTTCATCTTCTATTCCCTCTGGCAATAGCAGGTAAGATTATACTCATATAGGAACTTAAGGGGAGAATGACTTGCTAAATTATTGTTTTAAATTGCATATACAGTCAAAAGTCGTTAATCCGGAATCGTCAGGACTTCGGCGATTCCGGATTATCGATTTTTCCGGATTATAGATCATCAGTTTAAATCTGGTAGGATGGCATGCAGAAATTACAAAATTAAAAATATGAAACTGTAATTTATGAAATAAAGAACAATTATGGTCTAAAGGGTATCAAAATTTACAAAAAGAAAAGCTTAATATTTATTTGTTTACTTTATTAAACATTTCTTTCAATGTAAGTTGTTTAAGTTGCTTCGTTTCATGTGATAATACTTTCTCTTTAATTCAATTAAACAGACATAATTTCTAAAGTTCCGCTGTTCAAGTCCTATAATTGCTGTGTCGAGAATACCGACTAATTTGTCAATCGAAATTTTTGCGTTTTCAATAACCTCTGTTACTTTCTTCACTATCGGAAGCGAATTATAATGACGAGGAACTTGTTTTAAATCATATCAAAGACGGGAGTACATCGAGATGAAATACTACATTTAGTAAGGAATTATAAGCCAAATAAAATAAAAACATCTGCCCTGAAGATGTGCTGACAGATCAACTTCCAATTCATTGCGTGCCGCGGCATTTCCCCTGCCAAGCAGTGTGAAATTGATAAACAGATTTCGGATTTCGAAACATACTTTCGCTTTAGATCCTTTACATATGAGCAAATATATATCGGAAATTCTATTTGATATAATCGAAATTTCAAGCTTACTTTTATAAAATTGCTCTAACAGTCTGCAAAAAATAATAAGCCGGATCCAATTCGAAGATTAAGAAACAACGCAATCTGCAACACTAACTGAATTAGGTAATTTTAGCTTAGTTTATACCGTCCGTTATACATTAAACGCGCATACATAAACGTTTTATGCGCACGCGCACACGCAATTCACAAGCACGCGCAAGCCGTAAAGGTCTTAGGCCCCGTTCAGACGAGGGCGTAAGGGACATAAGTGGTTAAAGCTGAGCTCCGTTGCTAAGGCAAACCAGTCTCTACTACGTCACAGAATCTGGTTTAAGGCTCGTGGCATAGGGTTCAAAGTTTTTAACTACGCCGAGTTTGGGATAAGCGTCAACCAATCAGAGCGAAGCTAAAACGAAGCGGCTTTCTTTAGACGATTTCTCTGTCACATCGAAGGCGATGTTTTTTTTTAATATGGAACACATCGTATCTGAATGAGTTGTAATTGTATTCGAACGAAATAATGAGTTGTAATCGTATCCGAACGAAATAAAGAGTTGATCTCGCAAGAAATCTATGATGATGACATGCATTTTTAATGAGTTTTTCAATTTATATTGAAAAATATGGATGAAACTCGTAAAGCGAAAGTTAAGCTCAGGATTATGCACGCTATGTATGATCCTGTAGATAATTGATTCCATCCAATATTTTTCATTTTATTATGAAAATTCTTTAAAAAATGCACGATTGCAAAAATTTTATTTTTTCCGTGTAAATTATTATTATTAGTTTCTGTCTATAATTTTTTTTAAAAATTATTACTATAATTTTTTTCCTGTTTAATTATTTTTGTATTTAAGAATAAATTTTTTGAAAAAGCTGGAAATATTGTATTGCTATTTGCTTCAAATGCTGATTTTCTTTCCAGACAAACTTCATGAATTAATTTTACTAAAACATCAAATCAATATCAAGAATCTGCTGTTTTTTTTAACAGTAAAAATATTACTTTAAAGAAAAAAGAAAAAATTATTTTCACTTATTTAAGAATAGTCACAATAGTTCAATGGTGTAAGCTTTGTATAAGTAATAAAAGATTAATCTTTTGAGAAAATGCTCTTATGAATTCCAAGAAGGAAAAAATGTAGTGAAATATCCTTAAAATAGTCAAGAGTCTAGACAGTTTTGTCTCCTGTTGAAGTTCTGTTCTGTTTTTTAATTACGTTCTCCATGAAAGGAATTTACTTTTAATGAAACTGAATAGCACACATAATTCGTAACATGGACTGTAATTTAATGAATAGTATTTGTTATTATTATACACTCTTTATTACCACTCTTTATTACTATCATTTGAATGGAATTTTTTGATCATTAAATTCATGCTATTTCTCTGGTAGAAATTTCTGGATAAGGTATGAATGTTTATAAATTTTGATGTATTTGAAGACTTGGGTACCTAAAATTTGTCAATGTGAAATTACTTTTGAGATTTGGTCGTAAATAGAAATGACAGCATACATGTTGAAATTAAATTCAGGGCTGCAGCTTATACATGCAAATTATTAAAAATAGATGTATACAAACAGCTGGCAAGACACAGCAAAATGTATTCAATGATTGAGCATAAAATACATTGTTGGGTGAACGTTTCCTAGTATTGTACTAGTTGTGATTGTGGTTATTGTGACCTGTTGTGGGATACTATTGTGATCAGTTGTGGGACCAGTTGCGGGATACTACTAGTTCTATAATTGATACTGATATTGTAGTGCAGCAAACTACTATAGTGATCGACAGGGACAGTGAATAAGGAATGCTAAGCACACATGTTTCACTGTCATAGAAACATGTTCCTTTTGATTGAAAATTAAAAAAAATAATAATAATGTATGGTAAGTACTGTTTTTAGCTTAACTGCTTTCACACCTGGAAAATGGAAAAATATTATATACAGGCTATCTGTTAGTTATCCTCAAGACTTTTTTTTTAATTAGGCATATTTAGAATATCGTATTTCTCCTAAGAGAAATTATATATAAAAATTGAAGAAGGTTTTATATATATATAAATATGCATGTGCATGTTTATAGTATAGAGAGTACTACGGTACAATGCAGATAATTTCCATACTGCTTTGCACAGAAATATATGTGCCAACCAAGTATTGGTCTTTCAAAAAAATATCTCTCGACCATTTCGGTTCTTTTTGTTTTTTACCTTCTTCTGTTGCCTCTTGGCTAATGAGAAGAGCAGATAAAAGATCATTTTGTTGAGCCAGTAAAACTTTGTGGCGAGCTGAAAAAGCCATGACACAACGAAAAAACAAGCAGAGCGAACGTGGGAAATCAATCGAACGGGAGAACAGCGCGGAAAAGTTGTAGACATTCCACGCATGCGCAAATTTAGCTTCTCTCATTGGCCACGGCTTACACCTCGTTCTCGCACGTGTGAACGGGTCTCCCGTATTTTATGCCCTTATGACTACATCTGAACGCATTTTTACACACACACGTAAACGCCTATGCGCATGCGTCAACGCAACGCATGCGCAGAAAGTTTGTAGTTTTGAGGTCCGGATTATAGATCATTCCGGATTATGGGTGTCCGAATTAACGACTTTTGACTGTATTATTAAGCCTTTGTTGCATGCAAATAATCTAGAGACGTTAAACGAAAATGTCTGTATTTTTCTACTTAAAATAACCTTAGTAATAATAAAAAAAAGTAATTTTATTCAAATTCCGTTTTAAATAATTGCTACAGTTTGTTCACTACAGTTAACAGCATGCATATATATACATGCATACAAATCTCTTCCCAATGATTTACGGTCATTGCATTTGAAATCATTTCCTGCCTTGTTTGCAGTGATCGTTACCATCTTTTAAATGGTAAATCAACAACTGACATGTACATACAGATCCCCCAATATACCTTCATTTCGGCGATTGTGATTGAATTCATTTTGCTACAGTTTGGTAACCTGTAACTATTGGATTCAAATGTCAACTTTTCTAGAAATTCCTTACCAAACATAAACATTTCCAGTAGTGTTTTGGCTTGATAAGCAGTACGTTTGGGTCTCAATTCACTCTTTCCAGTAGAACTTTATCTACCCACTCTACAACTTTCTCAAACTGACATTTAAAATAAAATGTCTAAAATTACTAATTATGAATAAAAATGGCAGTATAAGAAAATGTAAGTAATATTATATAATGTTTACTATGAGAAATTGTACTAGCGGGGAAACAGAAATAGCAGCCATTTTCCAAATAGCAATGCTTTACTTAGGGATGCTATACGCCATCTATGATCGACAGTTGTTTACATGTACATACAGATCCCCCAATATACCTTCATTTCGGCGATTGTGATTGAATTCATTTTGCTACAGTTTGGTAACCTGTAACTGTTGGATTCAAATGTCAACTGTTCTAGAAATTCCTTACCAAACATAAACATTTCCAGTAGTGTTTTGGCTTGATAAGCAGTACATTTGGGTCTCAATTCACTCTTTCCGGTAGAACTTTATCTACCCACTCTACAACTTTCTCAAACTGACATTTAAAATAAAATGTCTAAAATTACTAATTATGAATAAAAATGGCAGTATAAGAAAGTGTAAGTAATATTATATAATGTTTACTATGAGAAATTGTACTAGCGGGGAAACAGAAATAGCAGCCATTTTCCAAATAGCAATGCTTTACTTAGGGATGCTATACGCCATCTATGATCGACAGTTGTTTACAAATTTAAACTTTTGTCTACTAGAGTGGACACGATGCAATAAAGGGTTAATCAAACTCTTTCTTTATAATATTATTTATGTTTAAGCATTAGCAATTTGTCTTATTTTATTTAGTATAACTTATTTTATTTAGTATATATTTATAATTTATTTAGTAAAAGAATTATAGCTGAAAATATGAATTTAACAAATTTTATATTAAAAGTTAAAATAGTACAAGTGATTTAGGTGCATGTTGCTGCATGGTTGAAATATTGTGATCGAATGAGGAATACTTCCTGAATTTAGAAATTCACTCTGGGCTTGAATTAAAGATTACTCCACTGCTTTGTTGCATTTGACATAATGTGATTTCTTTCGCGGATGAGAGAATGTTATATGCCATTTTTATGACTGCATCTTTGTCTTCAGGTCATCAGCATACATGCAGGTCTCATTACCAGTAACAATCATTTCAAGAAAGGTCGAGTTCTTTCTGCTTTTTCAAAATATTCGACCATGGTCAACTGCTGTGTTTCCTTCTGATTCGGGTTCACTTTGCACTTCATACGTTTCATCTTCAAATCATCTGACAGGAATGCGTGAATGGATCCATGAGAGATCCCACTTTCTGTGTCAACTCGTTGATGGTCTTTCTTCAGTCTGATCTGTTTCATTTGCTTGGCCATTCCTTCGTTTCTGGAGGTTGAAAGTCTCATATTGTGACTCGTCTTTGGCGATTCCTGTCCACCTCAAAAATCTTGAAACCATTCGTGAAAGGCTGTTTTCTGTAAAGAATCATCACTGTAAACTGTTTGTAAGGCTAACAAAGTCCCTGAAGCAGATTTCCCAAATGTGCACATGAATTTGATGGTTGTCCCTTTGCTCGAAATTCGACTATGCACCAACCAATTACCTCACCCTCCTACCTTCAGCTATACTGCTGTCACGAATTTCAATAGAAAATAAATAAAGTCATAGTAAAAAAATAAATTAATTATTTGATTGATAAAGAGTTTCAGTGAAATTTGGGGAACTTTAAGAAATAAGAAATTTAGAACAAATTCCTCAAAGACGTGAAAAACCAGTAAAATCCAAAATTCCCTATAAATATGTAACAAATAATCATCAAACCAAAAGAATTATAGATATGAGGACTACAAAAATTCTAAAAATGTATAGGGAGAGGAATGCAATCAAAATCTGATTCAACGGTATCAAGAGGAGGAAAATGAGAATGATTTCAATAAATTTAAACACACTTTCAGATATACTGAGCAATAATAATCTTATTGAAATTAGCAACATCTACCCCAACTATCGAAAACTTAATAAGACCAATAAAAATCACGAAGTTGTAGATTATCTGGATCTTAGCATTAACAATCTTAAAGAAATAAGACTATTTGATAAAGAAGAGAATTTAATTTTTCTGCAAGTGAACTTATAAATTGGAATGCCAATATCTCTAGAAAAGTAACAGCAAATACAATTTTTAATCAAATTACTAGAATTAAAAAAGGTGCTTATAAATTGAACAACAGCAGGAGTAGTCGGATCTTATAAAAATTTTTAAAGCAATGATTTTTTTCTGAAAGCTCAAATTAGAGAAAGATAAAGAAGATTGTTTTAAAGAATTTTATATGATTATATATAATTGTTTTAATGTACAATTTTCCTTGACTTCATCAATAGAGGGCCTATTCCGTTCTAAATCGTCATGATAAGCTCATGGCATAAAGACTTTATTCTTTTCTAATCTCTGTTTCTTTTCTTCCATTACTATCATACATTCCAAATCTAAAAAATTTGAAAATTACTTATAAATTTTAATTAACCATTTGGGAGATTTCTAACTTGCCATCACCAATTTGTTTTGCCAGTGAAGCCAAACTGGCAAGCCTTAAGAGTCTATTTTTTAATTTCGTTCTTTTGGTTTTCGTTTTGCTCTTTGTAAATTTTTATTTCAATGTTATTTGCTAATTTTTGTGTATATTTTGTATAACTACATTTTAATTTCAATCTTAAATTCAGTAAAAAGTGTCTAATTAATTTCTTTTACTTTATTTAACACTGGAACTTTTTATATATATTTGTATGTATTTCATTAACAGATTTCCTCTGCATTGAGCAGGATTTCAAAATTTTTGAGTGAACTGTTATAATTAAATAATTTAGAATGGTTCATCAGCTGATTTTGGATGAACAGAAACGCAGTAGTTTTCTGGTGAGAAGGGTCTAAATTGAATCTGATCTGTCTCCTCTTGATAATGTTGAATCAGATTTTGATTGCATTCCTCTTCCTATAAATTTTTTGTAATTTCTGTAATTTTTGTATTTTCTGTATCTATAATTCTTTTGGTTTGGTTGATTTCTTACATATGTATAGGGAATTTTGGATTTTACTAATTTTGCATTTCATTACTTTTGTGTCTTTGTGGATTTGGTTCTAAATCTTTAATTGCTTATCTATAACTGATTAATTTTCAGCAGCATATTCCATGGAAATAATATTGGGATAATTATGTTTTAAAATAAAACATTTTTTGATACTTTAATATATATATATATATGAATACATCTATGCATAATTTTGATCTTTTTATATTTCCAGAAGATATCGCACTCTGTATGCTTGTGTTGGAGAAAATGATTCAGAATTATCTTTTGAACCAAATCAAATTATATATAATGGTAAGATTTTTTTCACTATGTTAAAAGTATGCAGTGTCAAAAAAATTCAGTGAAGTTCTTTAAATAGACCTAATTTTAATTATTTAGATAATCCAGTATTAGAATAGAAGAGAAACACGCCAATGTGACAATCAAAATTGCAATAACAACCTTGTATTTAGCATACATATATTAAAAGACTCGATCGATTTCGAAGGCAGCTAAAGGTCCCTCCTCATCAGGATAACGAAATTACTAGAAAGGGGAAAAAAGAAGAAAAATAAAGCATCGGCAAAGGAGTCTCAGAAACACGTGGTCGTTATCAGCACTGCATGTGGTCGTAACCAGATTTTGAATCAGAGCTACATTGGCCACCTACTTTTACTGAGCCAGGCTATCTGATCAAAAACACAACATATAGACTAAAATGGGGGGAGAAAAACCCACAAAAAAATCAGTGAAGTTAAAAAATAGGGAGCGAGGAGCAGCTGCACCTTCACAGTCAGTCAAAAAATAGGGGCAACTCCACCTTCAGGCACCAAGTCTGAACCTCGAATAAAGGGACCTCCTTTATTTGAGGTTCAGACTTGGTGCCTGAAGGTGGAGTTGCCCCTATTTTTTGACTGATTTTTTTGCATTTTAGTCTATGTGTTATATGTTTGATCAGACAGCCTGGCTCAGTAAAAGTAGGCGGCCAGTGTAACTCTGATTCAAAATCCGGTTACGACCACGTGGCAGTGCTGATAATGACCACATGTTTCCGAGACTCCTTTGCCGATGCTTTTTCTTCTTTTTTCCCCTTTCTAGTAATTTCGTTCTCCTGATGAGGAGGAACCTTTAGCTGCCCTCGAAATCGATCGAATGTTTAAATATATGTATGCTAAATGCAAGGTTGTTATTGCGATTTTGATTAACCCACTATTAATTTATGTATTATGGTTTTCTTTTCTGTAATTGAAAATTGGTTTAAAATTGTACATGAATAAAATAGTATGAGTACAAATTTTTAAGTAGAAAACAAATTTGTATTGCAAAATACTTATCTACAACTTTTTCATATTTTTTTTTTTTTTTTTTTTTTTTTTTTTGGCTGAATTATTTTAATGAATGTATCTTGAAATGCCCCAAAACTGGTACTGAGCTTATACAGAATACATTGGGATCTATACCTATGTATGTCACTGATTACATCCACCAGAGAGTATATAAAATAATAGGCATCTTGGCAAATTTCTAATTTTTCTTCTGCCACGAGATTGGGAAGGTTGTGGTTTTATCAGGTGGAGGTTGCAAGATGGGTCATGGCATTCCAGAATTAAAGACACATAGTTTGATTTTCATGTATAACCATTTCAAAAGAGTGCCATGACTACAAGAACTCTGGCAAAACATAACTTACAAGAGTAATATGGCCATAAAAGTATTATGAACACATTCAGGAGCAACAAGTAAGAATCATTTCACACAATAGGGGTACAGTACTGTCTCATACAAAGCCAACAGAAATTTAGTTCTCAGCCCTTAAGAAACATTACCATGGACGGAACACTTCCTTCATTATATGGACTTTAGGCATGTTGCCACCTAACCAAACTCCTCATAAATGCAAAACACAGCTATGCAGTTCCCCTCACTTGGAAGTTCAGACTTAGATACTCAGTGGATAAAAATGTCTGATCTGACCAGTTATGTTTCAATCTCTTTTAAACAGATGAAAGGATCAGTATGAATAAAAGAATTTATAGAGAACACATATTAACAGAAGTTGGTTGGTTGATTGATTTAGTTAAGGAGATAACAAAGATATCAGTGGTATCGAGCACATTTGATATGCTATATAAACAGCGGTTCTTAACCTATGGGTCGCGACAAAAATTGGGTCGCGCTAAGTCAAATTAAAAAAAAACTTTTAATATACAAAAATAAAAAATACCAACACCTACTAGAAGAGTTTTTTTCTAATACAAGTTATTCTCTAAAACAATGCATTGGTTTTACCGCTCTTCGCGAACGGCCTTCTAGAAGTGACATCCAATTTCTGTCTTATAGCTTTCTTCTATGAGGTGTTGGTAATACTCACGCCATTGCTTTACGTGCGCGCAGACACAATAAGGTTGTAGGTAACATAGTCATTCTCTGGTAGTGACACCTTTTGGTAAAAATTAAAAGCACTTTCAATCAGCTACTTTTACTTCGACTTTTAAGAAACCGGGGAATTTCCGTTGGTTGTAAACATGTAAGCAGATATTATCGATTTAACTCGTGTGAATAAAGAAGTAATAACGGAAAATTGTATTCTGTTAATTTCTGTTTGCATATTAATGATATTTACGTAAAAAAGTTGCACTCAGCTGCAAGATCTTTGTCAAAAACTCATTTCTGTGTATTATGTTGTGAATAACAGTGGAATGTGTAATAATCATGAAACGTGAATACAAGCATTTTAGAAACAATTTTTGTCTGTTTATTAAAAGTGGAGTGATCAAGCTGCAGTGCATATTGTAAAATTGTAATCACCCTAAAATGACAAAACGTGAATACAAGGAAGCATTTTTAGAATTAGGGTTTACTTGCATTTATGATGGAGGAATGAACAAGCCACAATGCGTCTTGTGCAGTGAAATACTAAGTAATGAATCGATGAAACCGAACAAACTTAAAAGACATTTTGATGCAAAACATAAAAATTTTTCCTTTGAGAGAAAAGATCGTACTTTTTTCGAAAGAAAAGAAGCCGATTTAAAAAGACAGCGTTTAGATGCACCAAGTAGTAATAGTTTTCTAATTTCTACCAAACAAGCTACACTTGCTTCTTTTTATGAGGCTTGGCATATTGCAAGACAAAAGAAACCCCATAATATTGCTGAAAAACTTATAAAACCTGCTGCCATTGACATGGCACATATCATGTGCGGAGATGAAATTTCAAAGAAATTACAAAAGGTACCATTATCAAATGATACAATTCGTTTACGAATTAATGATATGTCGTTTGATATTAAGAATCAACTTATTTCTGCTATAAAAATTGCTGGTTTATTTAGTATTCAACTGGATGAAACGACAGATGTAAGTAACAATGCTCAACAAATGGTTTACGTGCGGTATCCAGGGTTAACAGATATACAGGAGGATTTTTTATTTTGCAAATCAATGTCAACAAAAACTAGAGGTGAAGATATATTTCTCATTGTCGATTCGTTTTTTAAAGAAGAAGGATTAAATTGGAATCAGTGTTTCAGTATTTGCACCGACGGTGCAGCTGCCATGACAGCATCTCAAAAGGGTTTTTCGACAAGAGCAAAACAAATGAATTCACAAATTTTATCGGTTCATTGTTTTTTTACATAGACAAAATCTTGCTTCAAAAAATTTATCGCCCGAATTAAGTATCGTTTTGGATGAAATTGTTACGGTAGTCAATTTTATAAAATCAAGAGCTCTTAACTGTAGAATTTTCCGCGAACTGTGTTCAGAATTTGGTGCAGAATACGAACATTTATTATATTACTTTGAAGTTAGATGGCTGTCCCGGGGCAAAGTTGTTCAAAGAGTATTTATTATCATTGCGGACAGAAGTGGAATTTTTTTTGAGAGAAAAGAAACACCCATTAGCATCTAAATTCTCCGAGTTGAAGTGGATTACTCAAGTTGCTTATTTGGCAGATATTTTGTTTGAAATAAATAATCTAAATATGTCTATGCAAGGACGTAATCATACTATTATTGAATTAACTGAAAAAATTACATGTTTTAAAAATAAACTCAAATTATGGAGAAATAAGGTTGAAGTAAAGAAACTTGCTTCATTTCCGACTCTTAATTTACTTGTTGAAGACAAGAATATTAATATCACAGATTTTTAAATACAGAAAATTATTATTAATCATTTAGAAAAACTAATAGCAGACTTTGATCGGTATTTTCCTGCAGACCATGTTTTTTATTATAATTGGGTTCGAATGCCATTTGATTTTGATGTAAGTGATTTGCATGAGGAATTTATTAATATTAATCAATTTCAAGAACAATTAATAGAAATTCAAAGTGACCAAGCACTTCGATACAATTTTTACAAAAACACTCAATCTTTATGTGCTTTCTGGTTAAATCTAAAAACCGAAAAGCCAATAATTGTTAAAGAAGCCCTAAAAGTATTACTATTGCCCTTTTCAACAACATATATGTGTGAGGCTGGTTTTTCGGCTCTCTGTGTAATCAAAAACAACCACCGGAACAAGTTAAATCCAGAAATAGATTTAAGGTGCTCCTGGACAAGCATTCAACCCAGGTTTGCAGATCTTTCAAAATGTATTCAAGCACAAGGTTCTCATTAAAAGCGTATAAAATGTTATTATAAGATTAAATTTCAATTATTTAAAAAAAGTTTTAAATTTATTTAGTTTGGTCAATAAAAATATTAAAAACACTTGATTATTTATTAAATTTTTCTTGGATCAAAAGTACTTTTGTTTAACTTTATTATTATAAAAAAAATTAAAAATTTGTAAGTTAAATAAGTCATCATTGTAAGATTAAAGTTTTTACAAATATGCTCTAAAATAAAGCAATGAAAAAATATTGACTTTTTTTGGGTCGCGGCTCAAAAAGGTTAAGAACCACTGCTATATAAGATGCTATGGTTTATGTATTTAGGTTGCTGTGCAGGAAGTATAGTATTCACTGTCCATGGAATACTGCATACTTGCATAATCCATCTTTAGTGTACCAGTTTTTTGGCACTTGAGCGTATTTAATTTAATTATTTCTGAGGTGAAATTAACTACTCTACTCAATTATCTACTCATTCTGAACTACTGTAAATGGTTATATTTAACTAAAACTATTTATTGGGCTTATGTCAAGCAACATAGAATTAAATTAAAATATATAAAGGCTGAGATTCAGTTCTTCAATAACCAGAATGGTCTATTATTATCCAAACTTTTGATTTATTTTATTTAAATCTTTCTTTTGTCATATGCAGTGCAAGAATGGATAATATAATACTTAAGCAAAAACAAGTATGCCGTAAATTGATTTTTGTTCTGATTAGCTAAGTTTTTCTCCAAAAAATAAACATCAATATCCATAGTAATATCAAATCATCATGCATACTGTTTTGGCTAATAAGTCATGCTTTTATTTTTGGCTCTTAACTATTTGTGGAAGATGAGAAGCCAGCACTCATATCTTATATTATGAGTTAATCCCAAAATAAACACACAATAATCCACAATAAGTGAATCCCTGTACACAATAAATGATTTTTCAAAGACCACTATTTGTTTGGAGGGGAACATCGCACACACTGGTTTCCTTTTGTGTGCATAGCAAGAAAGACATCTGTAGTGACAATGCCCAAATTGACAATCAATTAATGGATGGCAAAACATATAGTATGGTTTAAAATCTGAAAGGTATTGCAATAAATTATGAAGAAAGTGATAAAAAGGTTACTGAGAATGAAAAAAATATAAATTGGTTTAACAATGAATCCCCAACCCCCTTTTTTGGGTTCTTTAAGATCATAAATGCTTCATTATTTCACAAATAACCTTGCATATTTTTAACTTCATAATTTTAATAGATTTAAATTAATGACCTAAAATCTAGAATTGCTGAAGTGACAATAATTCTAGATCTCAGACTTTAAACTGTATTATTATATGAAGTTTTATATTCATATTTGCAGACATCATAGTTTCATCATAATTTACTTATAAATCATCCTTTAATAGTCTAAGCAGAAAATAATGGCAGGGATCAAAATATGAACTGAACAGTTAATCTAACAGTCATGTATAACTCAATATTTCTTTACTCCACTATACTGGGCAATATGTATTGTAATTTAATTTACCTTTTATTAGGTGCTATTAGCCTCAAAACTCACTTTTTTACCCAAAGCAATTTTCAAATTGTTGCCACCAAATGTTATCGTGATGTATTATTTTTTTTAAAAAGTAAGTAATGAAGAATCTGCGTGTATCTTCCCCATATTGTCAAAAAAACAACAGCATCTAGAGCAATCAGATTTTGAATATACATAGTCCACCTGAATATGTTCATGTGAAAGCTGAATTTTAAATTTCAAAACTTTTTTATTTATTTCATATTTTATGCAAATTTCATGAATTTTTAATTAACAAATTCAGCAATTAGAAGTGAGTGGTGGCAGCATTACTCAGAATAAAACTTTTTATCTCTAACATGTGAGACTTGCCATTTGGAAAAATGTAAGATATTTATCTTTTATTTCCCACATGCCAGCGTATTGCTATTCAGTTAAACTTAAGATATTTAACTTTCAATTTAATCTGGAAGGCCTCTGAAAAACAAACTTAAGTGTTTTAAAAATGATAGAGCTCTTAATATTTTTTCTACTTTTTAACATGATTGATTTAAATAACAATACATTAAAATCATGAGATGTCTAATTATATATATTATATATTTTTATGAAATTACATTAAATGGTGTCATTGAAATCATTAATCATTATTTTATTTATAAAGATTTATTTTTGTTTTTTATGATAATTAGTTTAGGAGGCTGGCCACGTAAATGGCTAGTTTTTAAACAAATAATACTATGAATATAAAAATAAAAGGTAAGGTAGTGAATATAAAAGGTTGCTACAAAACTACTAAAGAAAAATTAACATTGATGTTATGAACTGAGAAAACTAGAAAAGTGTATGCCAACACTTACTTAACTCTGTATCAGAAATTCTAAACATTTAAAAAGTTTGTGCTTTTGCTGTTTATATGTAGCGTAAGTGTGAAGAAAGTGATGCTTGTTAAGCACATCACTTTCTTCTAAGAATCTAAAAAGACAAAAAAATTATGTTAGCAGGAATGAGTCTAAGAGCAGATTGGTGAACAGCGAGTCGAGTGAGAGCATAAAAACTTAACCAACCCTCTGATACAATGTTAAAATCTGAATTGTTTCAGATTTTCTTTCTCTTTTATGTATTGTAGCAGTTATATGATTTTTTAAAATAATTTTCTGTGTGTCCTTAATCAATTTACAATGAGCAGGAAAATTTTTCAAACCTTATTGAAAAAAACTTTTGAAAAATAGACTGCAAATCTTCAATTAAGTATAAAATTAAAGATTTCTAGTGCTAAATAAATGAACAAAAATTATAAATAAATGAAATTAGGAATTTATCTTGAATATATAGACAAATGAAATTTAAAAATTGCTCATAAAATAACATCCAAAAGAAGAGTGATAGAAGTGATAGAAATAATAAAAAAAAGGAAATAGGAAAGAAAAGTAGATGATTATCGCATTATTTTTGATGGAAAATAACTATATTAATTCAGTTAAACTAATATGAAAATTATTAAATAATAAAACTTTATAAATATGAGCTATTAAAAGAATTTCATCAATAACTTTAGTATTCTGATTATTGCTGATATTAATTTGTACATGATAAAACGAAGTGAGAAATAAAATATCTAAAACTGATAAATAAAAAAATGTAGCTTTTAACAAATAAAAAGAAATCAGAATTAAAAAGGCTGCAGATAAAACAATTGAAAGTGGAAATATCACTGTAATGTGTGTTTAGCAGATAAGTACAATAAATATAGTGGATTCAATGAAAGGAAACAGCATTTATTATGTTTAAAAACGTTTTTAAAAAATGTTTCTACAGCAAGCTGTTCTGAAAGTAGCAAAAGTCATGAAGAGAAATTATGTATAAAAAATTTAACATTTTAAAATTAGTATGCTCTATGTCACATGTTGATGTAACTTATTTTTTATTTTATCATACATTCATGACATTTAAAAATTTCTTAGTTAGGATGGTGAAAAAGACCGTTTTGAAAAGGAATCTTTATATATTATTTCTTTAAAAAGCGCCTAAATTATATCAATCCTTTCTTTAACTTCTGCAGCTTATTATGTACGTTTATAGTATATGCATATGCACGTACATAGATATAAAATGCCCACATATATATCTTTATATTCTTAAAATTTTGTAAACCCAAATGTAGTACTAATTGTTCTGTTTTATGTTTTAGTGCGACAATCAAGGGAGCCTGGTTGGCTAGAAGGTTGCTTAAATGGGCGAACAGGACTTATACCAGAAAACTATGTTGAACCTCTCCCTTGATGAGGTAGAACACTGTAACATTGAATTTAAAACCAAGTACATTATAAAAATTCTATGTTTATATAAAATTTGAAAATATATATAGGGACAAATTTCCAGGAAGATAGTGAGATTGAATCTGTATATAATCAATTATCAAATGGAGATGTGCAAATATAAAGTGGAATATTTATGCTCTTTGATGCTAGATGCTGTCTACAAAATTATTTAAAATAAAAGGTCACCTTTTTATTTATAAAGATATATTTTTATATCTTAACAAATATCTGAATCCTTGTGAATGAATGTCAAAATTTATATAAACTTTGAGACAAGTGTGAAATCACTTCATTTCTGTATGCATTTGGACTAAGAGGTTTTTAATTTTTGAAAGAAACAGTTAAAAGATACATAATTCATGAATATTTCTATGTAAATTTAAAGTCTGCTTTTTTTTTAACTTTGTGAAATTTTTTTAGTATATAAAGTAATGATTGTAAATTTTTATTTATAGTTTTTCATTATTAAGATATTTTCCAAGTCAATTCTTTGTTTATAATACTGCTATCAAATGCATGATGGTCATTATCTTTATTACAAATTGATTTTATCCAAAGAAGACAACTTTTAGTGAATAAAACTTTCAATGAAATATTTTAGATAATGAAAAGCTATGAAGGTTGTTAAAACTGTTAGTTTAATATGCAGATATTCTAACTAATGATGCTGCCTTTAGTAAATATTTTCTACCATCCATATAAATTAAAATGTAGATAATAAAATATTTTAGTAAAATGAAATTTACTGAACAGTTATATTAAGTATGAAGAAAACATCTATTATTCATTTATTTAAAGATATCAAAAAGTGAAATTACTATAAACTTGCAAGCCCATTTTATTTTCAAGCATAACTACTGTGATCTTTTCGAAATGGTGAGATGTATGATTGCAAGGTCACATGTGCTGAAATATCAGTAACTTGTGAAAACAAATAATTTAGCACAAGTGATAGTAAGCATTTTTTATTTGCATGTAAACTCGCATTATTATTTGCTTTTTCTACTAAAATTTTATATTTAGTGTTAAGCAAATGGAAACAGACAACACCGTGAAAAAGAAGCAATGAATTTTTTTAGCAAAGCATCATTTTTCTCACAAAATACTATGTATGCTTTTTCATTCTGTAGGTCAAATAATTATATTTTACTTAAAATGTCTGCATCATAATTTTAAGAGCAAAAATCATAAAAGTATATTAGGAGATCTTGAAATATGTTTCATTGAAGGACACTCTTAAGTTTTGAAGTATTTCACTGCATGTAATCCCCCCCCCAAAGAATAGCAGTTTTTAATCATATTTCGCATAAACTGAGGATAGTTATCTTCATGGAATGATATGAAAGCAAATAGTTTCCTATGGAATCAGACGAAATTTGACAGTTTAATTTTAGAGTGTTCCTGCAACATAGTGAAGTAGCATCCAGTAACATTTTCATTATGTGGTTTATGCTTTAGGTATTAAAAGCAAAATGTGGAAATGGTGAGGTAAATGTTAGTTGAAAGTGCTTACTGTTGTATTTCATATCAAAGAAATGCTTATGAAATGAAAATGGAATTTGAAAAATAAGTAAAAACTCTTTAAATTTTATTTTGTTCTCTAATTAGCATATTCAATTCAGATCTTTCATGTTTAACTGTATGTATGTATGTTCGTAAAGAATTTTGCTGTGGTTTTTATCTTTTAATACTTCACTAGTAAAAATATCTGTTTCTCTTAAGTTAAAAGATCAGAGTTCTTTAAAAAAATGTCATTTTTAAAAAATATTCACAGTTTAGGGCTTTCGTTTTGTAGAGAAGTAGTGTGTTAATTTTAATTGAACTGTTGCCATCCGTCAATAAATAATTGTTTCTGTCAATCTTTTGATAACAGGAAAGTAAAATAGAGGAATTTGCCTGATATATTATGGCTAAGTTGCAAGAATTTTTAAACAGAGAAACTTTAAAGCTTTTTAAGATTCTTTGGTGCATTCCAGAAGTCTGTTCATTGAGATATTGAGTTTTATGTCGTGTGCAAGCGATTACTGTACTTTAGATAGTAACATGAATTATTAATGTCAAGATTAATATTTTAATTATAGTCTTTCAAGTACTTTCATTTTTTATGTATGAAAAATCAAATCAATCCTTAGTTATGGCAATATTTTGTTACTATATTACTTAATGACACTAAATTTTTATGTTAAAAACTTCAGATATTACTACATACTGAATGACTGTAAGTATTTAATTTTTCAAGTGGAAATTTATTAGTAATTTTAAAGATTAAGTAATTCTAAAAGATTATCATCCTTGTGAGCTTCATTTTCATCAATTTTTGTTCATTTTTCTTTCACATACCATTATTAATATATAAAATAATTAGTTTTCTGTTTTGAATTTTGTAAAAAGTACAATGTAAGATTAGACTACTTTTGGGGGTTGAAATATTTTATTTTATGTATTAGAATGTTTAAGTTGCAATGAATAATGTTGTAAAGCATAAAATTTTATTAGCCTTTGGAAATTAGCTTTTTTTTTTTCCCCTAGTATTGTTATATATCATTAATTCAGTAACACTGAAAACATTTCTCTTTTTTAAATATGGTGAGTTCAACAAATATCTTTCTTTGTTTTATTAAGTGTATCTTTAACTAATTTACTTCATGTAAGTAGTATTTACATATTTTTAAAAATTGTGCTTAAATACTGAAATTATGTAACAAGGTCTGTGTATCATAATTGTAAATTATGAATTTTTTTTACTTGAAGAATACAATGGCTCATATGTATGAAAATTTTTTATTCTAACTGGATTATACTTCATTAGGTTAAATCTCTGGAAATTGCTAGTTTACATCTGCAAGTAAAATGTGGTTAGTGTTATAATTCTTGCAATGGTTTTTGTGCTTGAAAAATCATTACCTTTTGTAAACCACATAGTCTAAGGTTGCACAAAACTAGAACATTTTTATTCATTAATAAATTAGTATTTAAAAATGGTTCTATGGCTACTTTATCAGTGTAAAGATTATAGTTTGCAAGTGCATTTGCATAAGATACATACACAAATATTTAAAAATTAGAAAGCACTGTATTAGTTGATGATAACAGAATGATTTTGTAAAAATTGTAAGAACATAAAAATATAAAATTAATAGCTCCTTTTGTATCTGTAATCTTTTGTTGTAAATAATCCTTATTATAAACTTGCTTTTAATATTGTGAGTGTACAGAATTATAATGATAAAAAGTGCCATTTGTATATAATAATTGAATCCATTTTATGAAGAATAAATTTTCTCATGTTCATCTTTGTTTCATAATTTTATGATGTTTTTTATTAATTTGAATAGTTTATATATGCAACTTTGTATTAAGTTAAAATGTTTTATGTGCTTAATGATTGCAGGCAATCGATTGCTTGATGTTAACTTCAGAAAATATAATTTTGTGGTGTTATGTTTTTTATATGTATAAAATAACTTGCTGTTTTTTTGTAAAAACATCTTTGTATAAAACTTTGAAAATTAATAATAATTAGAAATAGTGAATAGTGCTTGAAATGGTGATTTGTATATCAGTAAAAACCTTATTACAACTATAACACAGAATGTTACCAATCGCTTATGAATTTCATTTACATATCATTTCATTGAAGGCAATTTTGATTCTGTAATAAATTTAACAATAGTAAATCAGGTACATAGATAAGACAAAAATTCTAAACCATCATATTTAAAAAAAATTCTTATTGCAATCTTAGGTAAATTCACTTTATAATTATTCAGTATTTAATTATATGTTGTGCAAATAAATTACATTTGATATAATTTTCATAATGATGATTTTCTCAGAATTTTTTATATTCCATTTTATTATTATTTTCAAAGTATATGCAAGTTTTAATATCATAATCAGTTCCATTTGGAAAGAATTTTAGATTTTCTTATCGAGAAATATAATACTTCATATTTTCTGCAGTTATAAACACCAAATTAAATAAAGATGTGTCTTTTCATTAGTTTTTATATAGAATTTCTCTAATATTTTAGGAAATTCAATTCTTAAATCAAAAATATACTTGTAATTGAAGTAGAAAATGGCAAGTTTTCATTATGTTAAGTTTTCAGTGTAATTAAATTAGTGTATCATGATGGATTCTGTGAATTTAGAAAACCAGTGATGTTAGGCGGTATAGTGTTTGACAACTTTTGTGCAATTTGAGATAAATTATAACATTGTGTATCTTTGTGTGTGTTCAATAAATGATAAAATTATATATTTGTGTTTTAAAATGAATGTTCTATGTAAAGATGGACAGAATATATTTTATCTCACATCCTTTCAGTTAGAATGAATGTGAATATTTCTTATGCTGTAAATGTAATTTATCAAATTACAACTTTGGTTAAACATGCACAAGCTAAATGTTATTCCAGATGGATATTTTTATTTTTAAACATATGAGCGTATCATAATACTGCTTTCTAGTACCATATCAATTTTCAAATATTAGCCTTTTATCTAAAATGAACATATTGCTCAATGAATGATAGTAATATTTATAAAAGATATTTTCATTGGGATACCTAAAGTTCCATTATCTGTACTTTTTCTTTTTAATATGGTATTTAATTTTGCTATTAGCTTTATGCTCCATATTATACATAAATATATACATTAAACAATAGTTTAGCTTTCTAAAACCGTCTTAGAATTCAAAAAAATTCTCGTCCACAAAAACTGACCACACATCGTAGAATTGCATGAATAACATTTCTTACACACACATATATATATATTTACAGCATTCAGCTCATGAATCATTAGCTTCCATATTAAGTGTATTAACTTTTAATATAGAGATATTAGTAACATAGAACAAATTATTACATGTCATGCTTAAAAGAATTTCAGTGCTATGAAATTAATTAGACTTAATGCACTCTTAGTCATACTTTTAATTTTTAAAATTAATTCTTTGTAAGAACTTTTAATTACATCAGAATGCTTGTGATAATTTTGTGCTAGAAATAGTTTCCTTTAAACTTTAAAAAATTGAGTTTTTCTTATTTCATTTTATAGCTCAATGTTTAGATGCATACCATTGTTTTAAGATTTAATTTGATTAAACTGTTAAAAATGCAACTTTAATTACATTATTTATGATAATGTAGCATATGTAAATTATGGTATTGTATGATATTTAAGTGTTTACATATTATAAAAAGAAAAAAATATATTTATTTTAATTTTTATTTTTATTTTAAGATTGAAGTAGAAAAATATTTCTGTAAATGTTAATAAAATATGTATTACTAAAATAAGACTTAATTAATAATTTTTTAATGAAAAGTATCAAATTGTTTGTTCAAAGTAAATGAAATGCAAATTTCATTTCAATATACCAGCAAATTAGAAGACATTTCATATGTAGATTTGCACATATAATGTCCCATATGTATTAGACTTATGTGCTAAGAAACTTGTGACTACTGATTTTGTGTAATAAACATTCAGTACATTTTGTATGTTTTTTATATAAGCAACACCAAACTGCATTTTCTTTCTTAAACTGCAAATTGTTTTAGATCTGTGTAATCTATTTTTAAATAAATGTTCATTTTTTAAACTCACTTTGTTTGGTACTATAAATATTAAATGAAATAGAAGTGTTCACTTTACTGTGTTGTAAGAAGATGTTTGTAATTTCATTGAAGTAAATGTAAGTCATATCCAGGTAAAACAATCATTAAACAGAGAATAATATCGCAATTGTTTGAATTTATAGTTAGAAGAAAATCTTTATAGTCAGTGTCAGTCTTTTTTTTTTTTTTTTTTTTTTTTTGAGTGAGAATTAATTGCATTTATTAACATATCAATTTTGCCACTCTAATATTTAAATAAATATTTCAAAGCAGAAACTATTGTAAGGTTCTTTAGATACTTTCTACCAAAAATATCTGAAGAATCTCATAAAAGATATTGGCCATAAAATGCTAAACATGTTTAATGATGTTCAACATTTTATGGTTAATAACTTTTATATAATTTGCTTTCTAGAAATTTACAGATAAACTCTTTGCATGTTATACAGATTTCTCTTTGTTATTCTAGTATGGCCTACAATCCAATCACGTCTATATTGTTTATCATGAATAATAAAGAATGTATAGTTATTACGGTAGCTGAAAATAGAATTTTTTTGTACTGATACCGAAACTTGTATGTAACAAAATGAACTAAATTGTATAATATTCAAATATTGAGTGATCTATTTTATTCAATGTAAGAGAGTATTTATCTGTGTACAAAGGGACAGGCAACTTACTAATTTAGTGTTGTGAAGAAAAAATGTATCTGGAGAGAAGATTATGCATAACTGAATAAAGTTAACACTCATGTTATGTAAAAGTGTGATGAGATCCAATGTATTTTTTATTTTAAATATCTACTGCCAAAAAGAAAGAAAGTAAACTTTATAAATAATTGTAGAATGAACATCTTTTAGAAGTTCTGAAAATGCTGAATAAAGTAATAGTTGATCACATTTGTTTAATTCTTCTTTCAGCTTTAAGAAAAACAATTTTAGATTTAAATTATAAAGGAGTTGCAGCATGATAATAATAACTGACAGTCATTAAATCTATTTTAGTGCATTTGAATTAGAATTGAACTTATTCAAAACTTGCAATAAAATGATAGATTCAGATTTACATCTGTCTGTTGTAAAACTTAGAATATTAAAGAAATTCAAACCATTTTAGATAATTTATATTTAAATATAATGTATAATTTATTAAAGCAAATTTTAATTTAAAATAAATTAAATCTAATATATCCTAATCTAAAATAAACTAATTCTGTAATAAATTAAATTTAGCTTACTACAGCAAATCATTGAAGACCATATATGTTAGAGAAAATGTCATTTTTGCATAAGATTTTGTAAAAAAAGTTGTATTGAGTTTAAATTATTGAAAATTGTGGAAAAGGCTCCATAAAAATCCCTGGGTTGGCATATTTATCCAATGTTGTCCAAAAGATGGTAGAAAAGAATGCAAAGATAACTACTGATATTTTGAAGCCTTTTGTTAATTTTCAGACAAGAGGCTATGGTCTATGAAGGATTTTTTTTTTGAGCTAGCACTTCAATGCATTTTGCTGCTGAGGGAACACTAAAGGAAATCCCATTCCTTAGTTTTGATTGGTACTTACAAAGAACACGAATGTTAAGAGCGAAAGCTTCGCCAAAGCAGGGGTAGCTCCCTCACATCCCAGAGGGAAACAGAGGCATCTAGCATTATCATTTTGCGCATGCGCGAAATAGCCGTTGAATCAAATCCATCCTTAATACCTTTTGGCGAATACTCAAAATAATTGTTGAGCTGGCGTCAAAGGTCAAGTTCACAAGAGTTCGAAGTTCTGTAATAACATTTTTCTCCCCACCGTATTGAGGTAAGCCAAATCAGTGATCCGCTCAAATAAATTAATGAAAGGATTATTTATTTTGATTAACAAAAATCTGCGAAAATTCGAGTTTAAATTATCGCCAAAGATTTTGCTAAAGAACAAATCCTATAAGTTCTTCGAATATGTATCGTATTGTTTCCTGTACACGTGATTTGGACCAGAATTTTTTCCTCCGCGATATAGAGCGGAGGAGGTCAAACTACTTTATATTATGTCGATTGCGATATTCTGTATTGTACTGGGTTTCTATTGCCGGAGCAATACTTCCCAGTCATGCGGAGCCTAGTATTAGAAAATTCCTGATTGAATTTCCTCTGAGGGGAGAAATAGCAAGGAGAAAAGTTACATTATGTCTATTGAAGCTTTCCTTCTTTATATACACATTTTTTTTATTCTTAGTGGACGCGAATGTCATTGGACAAGTGGCAAGAAAGGTCATTGGACAATGAGTCCAGCAAACTGTCCCCAAACTCTCCAAGACTGCCGGTTGCAGAAGACCCAGCAGTATCAGCCACAGCAGAGTGTAGCAATGATTCCAACGATGTCTTTTCATCTACACTAAAATGCTTAATCAAAATCTCCCGCGACCCAGCGGTAGATAAGCATATTCTGCTTCTTGCCTTCAAAAAAGCAATGCCTAAACTCAGGCAAGCAGATGCTTTAATGAGGGCATTTTATTTGTATGAAAGCTCTGTTGAGCTTTCAACTTAATTTCGGCATTTTTAGACCCATGGCTTCTGTTTTTCAGTGATGAACCTCTATTAACGGCCTAAAATTCAATTATATGAATAACAGTTCAAACACCATCAGAGAACTGACCATTGGCACATGGAACGCCAATGGTTTAACATAAAAAATTCACGAAGTTCGTGATTTTGTAGTAGAGCATGATATTGACGTGCAATTAGTCCAAGAGACTCACCTTACCCCAGGGAATACTCCCAAAATTGGGAATTATGACATTTACTGTACTGACAGGGTGTCACAGAGCAGAAATCCCAGTGGTGGCACTTGTATCTATGTGAAGCGTTCCTTAAAGCATCACATGATACCGTCCCCTGATTTAAATATTTTGGAAGCGACTATCATCAAAATTTTCCTTCAAAATTCCTCCCCGCTGACAATAGTCTCAGCCTATTTACCTCCACAATCAACAGCACGTGGAAGGCCAGCTTTTCCTGTTAGTGATTTTGATAAACTTTTGAATGTTTCAAGTCACCTAATTATTGCTGGTGATCTAAATTCACACCATACCGCATGGTTTGGTTCAAATAGGAACAGGTATGGTATTAGTCTAAATTCATGGTGCCAGAGTAACCATGTTCAGATCATAGCTCCTACCCTCCCGACTTACTACCCTGCAAGAGGATCCCCCACAGATGATGAGCCTTGATCTGGCTGCCTTTTGTAATATATTTTTTCGGCATGAAATTAAAGTGATTCAGGACTTAGATTCCGATCACACCCTGTTTTGATTACCTTAGATATTCAAAATCGATACTCAAAATTAGAGGAACAAGTCTCAACAAATTGGGACAACTTTATATTTATTTTGGAAAAAACTGCACTCCCTCCCATCAAAATTTCCAGCAATTCGGACTTTGACAGGCGTATTAAAAGTTTGGAGTCTTTACTTAAAGAAACGAGAGCTGCAGCTTCAAAACCACTTAAACACCCAGGCGCTAGGCTCCCACCTGAGACTAAATTCAAAATTAAGCAGCGGAACTACTTGCGAAGAATTTGGCAAAGGTCACGAAATCCAAATATCCGTGCCCAGTTTCTCAAGATACAGAACGAGATAAAGACCGAAACCCGCTTATTAAAACAAGCGGAGTGGAAAACATACATTGAGTCCCTAACGACTGAAGACAAATCGATTTGGCACGCAGCCGCCCAATTACGCAAACATAAAACACTTATTCTGCCCCTTCAAACGGCCGATGGCGCACAGATGGCCTACACTGACTCAGAAAAGGTTGATGTCATAGCTGACAGCCTTGCAACTCAATTCACACCAAATCACGACTCCTACTGTAACCGCCCGGTTACACAGGGGCGCATACAAGCACGGGTTAATTATTTTTTAACACAACCCATCTCAACTGAACCCTACTGAACTATCAACGGACCCTACTGAAGTTATGGTTTTCATTGACAAATTGAAACCTAACAAGGCACCTGGCATAGATTCTATTTCGAATCGCATGATCAAAAACTTCCCCCCAATGTTTATCGTCTGGATCACGGTACTTATAAATTTAATGCTCAGGAGAAGCTATTTCCCCGACTGTTGGAAAATTGCAGCAGTCGTCCCCATTCCAAAACCGGGACAAAATTTAAACTTACCCGTCAATTACAGACCCATAAGTCTGTTATCCTCTCTCTCAAAGATCTATGAATTTGTCTTACTTAATCGCCTGAATGAATTCTGTCGGGATCAAAATTTATTAATCCCGGAACAATTCGGCTTCCGACCTAAACACTCCACAGTACACCAGTTACTACGTGTAGTGGAATTCATTCATGAAGGCTTTCGTAAGCGAGAGAAAACTGGTATTGTCTATTTAGACGTTGCCAAAGCCTTTGACAGGGCTTGGCATGACGGAATAATTTACAAGTTCATGCGGCTTGGTTTTTCGGCTCACCTCATTAAAATTATTAACTCGTACTTGACTGGACGCAGTTTCCGCGTGCGAGTTAACCACGAATTCTCCTCTCTCCGCCCAATCTATGCCGGCGTAGCTCAAGGTAGCCTCCTTGGACCTTCAATCTTTAACCTTTATGTAAATGATATTCCTAAGGCCCCCAAATATCGATCTTGCATTATACGCAGACGATACAGCCATCATTTCACAACATTCCAACACCCTCCAGGTAATCTTCCAATTGCAGAGTTACCTTTCAGCCTTAGAACTCTGGCTCGGTCTGTACGAAATTAAAATTAATGTCGCAAAATGTGCCGCCACTATGTTCATCCGAAGAAATATCCCAAGTTTACCTAATCTAATGCTCTTCGGTGAACCCATTCCCTGGGTTTCTTCTTATAAATATCTAGGTGTTTTACTAGAATCAAAATTAACTTGGCAGCCTCACATTCGCAAAATCATAGCGGGTGCAAACCACCTGTCAAAACCACCTTACGCTCTTTTTTCACTACAAATAGCGACCTGTCACTTGATAACAAAATCCCGCTCTACAAATCTATGATAAGGCCTGTTCTTACATATGCGTATCTCATCTGGGGCCCATCTGCACTAACAGAAAACATGTTCAAATTTTTTCAATCCAAAATGCTTTGGCAAATATTAAAAGCTCCGTGGTTCGTACGGAACGAAGAGATTCATAATGACCTCAAAATTATGCCCATTAATCGCTATATACAGCGACTTTCGGAAAAATTTTTCAAAATATTCAACATGTTGCTAATTCTTTGCTTCATATGCTACCCGTATATGATCCTGCTGTTCCTTCTTCCCGGAAAAGACCCCGAGCGGTTCTTAACCAGGAATATTCAGCTCTCCCATTTAAACGGGCTAGATATGAGCACACTGACGGCCATGTGAATAACTACCTCTCGTTCCTTAATCCCCCCGCCTCTAAAGTTCTTTAATGCACACAGCATTAACCCGAGGAACCCACCTTAACGCTTCTTTAATAAGAAACATCACAGTGTAAAAGGACAATTAAATTATATCAACTTTTGAAATGCCTTAAACTGAAAAAGATCTTTAAATACAGCTCTTTTCTTCCTTAAAAAAGAAATTTTTTCAGATGTTTAACATCGTCATTTTAGGCTTTTAAATACCGCATTGAATAGCGGTCAAAAACGAAACTTCTCCCTCCCAGCTGATCACTGGCAGAACTACTTTTTCGACCTGTAACCCAACGAGATAGTTATATGAAGTCGTTGCTGTAACCAGGTTCCCCCCTCCCTCCCACCCCTGAAGAAAGCGCATCGGAAAAAATTGCTCTCCCCTGCGTATTCTTCGCTTCGGCTCAGGCAAACTGGATGAGTTTTCGCAAAGTGGGTTCCCGCGTTACAACGCTATCCCGGGATAAGATGTGTGCGATTTTCGA